GGAACTCTAATTCCGTTCCAAACAATATTGACTATAGGTGGCTAGTATCACTCGTGACAGAAGTCACGTGCCCAGTTCCCCACCCTTTTACAATTTATTCTTGGATAGATTTTTTGTTTTATTAGTGTAATAGTGAATTTATTTTCTTAATAATTAATGAAATACCGTTATTTTTTATCTAGTAACTACTCATGGATAACATTTACATAAGATAGCTACTTTATGGAGCGATTCACAAGAACTTCAAAGGAGCAAATATAAGTTTACGCTTAAAATTTGATGAACAATATGCACCATTGTAATATTAAAATGAAACACAAATAACGTCAAACATATCAATTTATCTATTGTCGCTCAAAATTTATCATTGGAGACCTACATGTAGCTGTCCCGGCCGAATGGATATGTGATGGATTCCCAGCTAATTGAAGAAAGGTTCGGGTGATGTCCCACGCGTTATATTTGAGATGATTGACGATTACGATAAATAAGAAAACTTGACAAGGTTTAGGGTAGATCAAAGATAAAACTTTGAAGATGAAAAAAAAGTAAAATGCTTGAAAATAATCCCTCAATTCTACCTTGATTCCTCTATTTAATTCTTCCAAAAGCATAATCCACTTCCTCATTTACTATTGGTATAATTCCCTTCAAATTAATTTATCTCACATTAACATGTTCTTCCTTTAATGTCTCATCAATTGAACTCAAAATTTTGTGGAAGGAGATTGTACCTCTATAAAGAATAGGGACATTGTTGAGTTTGGTCCAAAAATAAGTTGGCATTCGACGAATTTGAAAGATCCATGCTTGCATGTCTTCTAAAGAAGCAAGTTCAGACAGCTACTATATGAGCCTCCGCTCCCTTCGGATTTTCAATTTGTGTTGCAAGTCATTTTTTGCCAGCTCTACTTGTTCGTCGCTCACGCCAAGAGGTTACTAATAATGTTAGGCTGCCTATTCCAACCTCATATCTCAATATGGATGTTGTCTACAAAGTCTTTGAGCAATTTCGGGCCTAATTCACTCTTCAATTTCTATTCTTGGATGTTGGGATAGGTTGTGGCATGATGATTGTCCGATCTACTAATGGTATGTCTTAACGGCGAACTGCTAATTTTCAGATACGAGATATTCATCCTAGTCACTATGGTCGTATTTGTCCAATTGACACATCTGAGGGAACCAATGTTGGACTTATTGGATCCTATTATCACATCAACAATAGTAAAGCTAACCTTAACAACAGTAATTTCTAGCAATAAACAATCCCAAACAGGTGTCCTTCTCAAAAGACTTCTATTCTTGCCAAGTATCGCAAATACTTCCTCCAAGGGTTTATTCTTTCGAATATTTTATACCCTAGTCGGAAAAGACATTCGAGATTTTTCCAGGCACATTCCAGCAATGTTCTTAGAAGTTGAGAATAGATCTATGTTGTTTTTCATCTCTATGTTGTTGACGAGGTTGAGGTGCAGTTCTACTCCCCCAACATGTCCCGGAGGTCCTTACTGCTTAAGATCTTAATGGTTTATGAGCCTTGTGAGGTCCATAAGGCCGAGGTCTTTCTAGCTAGAGTACCTACAGTCGAAAATAATGGCTGTGTTCTTAGATCAAACTTGGTGTTTGCTGCCTTGCCCCCTGCCATGTGCTATACGAAAGAAGATGAAGGACATATCCCCTTTGCCATATAAGATTAGAGGCAACAAAAATAGATACGGCTTGAAAATTCGATCTGAACACGGCACTAAAAAGTCGTGCTTAGACCTTAAAAAATAGACCTGAAAATTTTTGGGTCGTACCTGACCCTGCATGCCCGGGCCCATGAAATTTGGATTGTATCCGGCTCAGTCCGAATTATTATAATAGATATTTAAAATTTAATATATGTATATGTATATTTACTAACAAAATAATAATATAAATCAAATCATACCTTGATGATAAACCTCCTATTTCACCCAAATTTGTTTGGTCGTGGGTTCTGTATACAATTCTAAAAAAAAATCTCAGACAAGTTTCGATTAGCTTAAAAACTAAGGAGAAGGCCGGTTTCGATTAGCTTAAAAAATAAGGAGAAGTCAAAAACATATCCTTTTAAATCCTTAAAATTACTTAAAAAAATATATACTGTTAATATGATAGTACTTTAACACTTTTATAATTTATTTTAAATTTTATAAATTATATTTAAAGATTTTAAATTAAAGTATAAAAAATATACTTTTAAAATTTGATTATTTATATTTTAAAATTTTAATTTAAAGTTAATATATCAATTAAAAATAAAATTACAATATAATATTAAATTATTTGTATTTTATAATTTATTTTAAAATTTTATTAATTGTATTTAGTAATTTAAGTAAAATTAACAAATTTATATACTCCTATTTGAATTTGGTCTTTCAATTTTAAATTTTAATCCAAATATAATACATAAATTAAAAATAATTATTATATATTTAATTTTTATTAAAATATAATATATAAATTATTTATTTTTATATTATACTCCCTCTGTCCCATAAGTAAGTATCCATTTGTATTTTTGCACGTAATTTTAGAAATATTAGTATTATAGTGAGATATAGTAGGAATAAAGTAGAAATGACTAAAATAACCTTAGTACGTGTGATATAAAGGTAATGATATTTATGTAATATATTGTAAGTTGTAAGGGTATTTGTAATAGTAGGTAGATAGTACAGTTACTAAAAAGAAAATGTATACTTTCTTATGGGACAAATTAAAATGGAAAGATAGATATTTTGTTATGAGACGGGGGAAGTATTATATTATTGTATTTATTATTATTATTGTTGAGCACAAAAAAAAATGATGGGATCTTAAAAAGAGAGTACGAAACACTGTTAAGGAAAAGGCTTCCTCGGGAGAAAGCAGAGATCGGGTGTAATAAGGTCGGGTACAGAGATCGGGCGTGATAAGGTCGGGTACAGAGATCAGACGTGATAAGGTCGGGCGTTAAGATCGGACAGGACAAGGTCGGGCACGGAGATCGGACATGATAAGGTCGGGCAAAGCAGAAGTATCGGCAGACGCGGAGGTCTGTCAAGACGAAGATAGGGCAAAGAAGAAGTATCGGCAGACGCGGAGGTCTGTCAAGAGAATAGTCTGTTGAACCAATTGTCCATCTAAGGAGATAAGGCAAACAGAGCCGGTCGGTTGGTTCGCAGTCGGTTGGGCCAGTCGGATGGTCCGTAGTCGGTTGGCCTGCGGTCGGACCAACTGAGGTCGGACGGGGGACGGCTGATACGGAGGTCGGTCGAAAGAGGAAGTCAGGCGAAGAAGGACGGCTGATACGGCGGTCGGTCGAAAGAGGAAGTCGGGCGAAGAAGGACGGCTGATACGGCGGTCGGTCGAAAGAGGAAGTCGGGCGAAGAAGGACGGCTGATACGGCGGTCGGTCGAAAGAGGAAGTCGGGCGAAGGAGGACGGTTATTACGCAGGTCAGACCAAGTGAGGTCGGGCGAAGAAGAATGAGACGGACGATACGAGGTCGGACAAGAGACCAGATGGTGGTCGCTTGGTGGGGCGACCAAGGAATCGGTTGGCCTGCAGTCCGTCTAAGGAGTCAGGGGTTATTTTGGGCGGCTGAGTAGCCGGTCGGACCAGCCGCTCATTTAAGGCAGGTGAGATTTTCAGAGGCGGTCGGCCGAGTCAGTTGAGTGTTGTAACTGGCGAGAGCGGTTGGTGAGTCGGTTAACACACGTGTCAACAGAGGAGAACCTGGTGGGCGGTTGACAGCGGTTGCTGTAACCGACTAGACGGCGGTTCAAACTGTTTCTTTAAGAGGTTATTTAAGGATTCGGATCTGTTCTGACAAATCATCTTCAATCGACATCAAATTCAGCTACGCCGACGTAACTTTCTAAATAAGACGTGGAATTAGACCAAGGGTCGATGGTCTTGAGTAGGAACTAGTCTCAACAATTTCGCACATAAGAGATCGAGACACAGCCCCAGGGCTATGGGGAGTAGATCGATGAGAATTGTTTTTTGGGATCACCACTTTATTTTTCCAGTCTGTAGTTTTATTTTCCTATTTTATTTATGTATGCTACAGTGTTTAAAGATTCCTAATCTCAGGCACTAATTATATCAAATTCGAAGATAATTTCTTATTTTCGGATTTTACTTTTTATTGTTGAAAAATCGCATCAAGAATTATTATTATTATTATTATAGATAAAAAAAATTAACTTAAAAGTGTTTCTACTTCTTTCAAAAGCTACAATGTGCTTTTGAAAAAAATATTTTTCACCTTCAAAAATTGCTTCACAAAAGTCAACCGCAAATAGGTGCAAACTATTTTTTTAAGAAGCAAAAGTCAAAAACTCCTGCCAAAAGTCAATCCACACAAATTTATTCAAAATCCATAACTTCTTCTATTTAAAACCAATACTTCAATTTATTTTTGGGCTAATCCTAGCATTATCATTCCCATGCTACTTAGCAATTTTTGGTCTTAATTTTTCGTAAAAACTCTTAGCTTTATTTATATTTATTATTTTAAATCTATGTTTATTAGAAATTTTATCTTCTCCCAGCATTATTTTAATTGTGACGCTGTGGAAAATATAGTCGAAAGTTGATTTTATTATTAAATAATAAAATATTATTTAATTGTAGATTGAACTCTAATTTAATATAAATATAACTAAAAATAAATATAAGATTTTTTTAAACAAATATTCTTCTATAATAATGTACATATAATAAGAATATCAACATGGTGCTATTGAGCTAAGCCAAAAACATATCAAATCAAGTCCCGTAAGGGATGACCCGGTGGCATAAGGGTTGGACTTGTGACCGTGAGGTCATGGGTTAAACCCCCGACACTTCAGGTCACCTGCAATTTCTTTTCAAAATTCAAACATCAAACAATTACACTGATTATAATTCAATGCTGATTCAATGAAGCTATAGTTTCAACATGATGCTATTGAACCAACCAAAAAAACTATTGAACTTATAAACTTGCTAATAAAAATAAAATTAAATAAATCATTATCACCCAAAAAAAGAAAAATTCACAAATAATTACTCTCTTTATATAACTTTAATTTATTTTTTTCTTCAAATTTCTTTACCATATAATCCTCAAAATTCTCAGTCCCAAATATAGTATAGAATGAGATCTTTTCTATCCGCAAAAACTGCTGCAGCAGTATAATCTAATTGAATCAGCAAACAGCTCGACACCATTCTAAGCTAATTAATTTCGACTAAATCATACTTGTCGATCGACGGTAAAAAAAAAAAAAAAAAAAAAAAACAAACAAACAAACAAACAAACAAACAGGTAAGCATCAGAAACAACGTGAATGTAGTAAACTAAACGACGAGACAGCTGTAAAAAAGCTAAGGTATATTACCTGGGGTACTCGAAAACAAGACCTTCAGCAACACTTCTTGCTCGTGCTACCCCGAAAAGCTTTCCTACAATCGCGAGCGCAAAATGTATAGCAGAACTAAGTCCCCGACTAGTGATCAATTTATCGTCAATCACTACTTGAGTTCCAATCACTGCACCATCCCCGAGCGCGGACATAACCGAGGGATGTGCTGTAAATCGCTTCTCCTGTTTCAAAACAATGTCAATACTTGATGCTAAGAATATGCCTAAGTACCAATTTCCACGGCTTCTACCTTTAACGATCCGTGTCTCAGTAGAATTGCAGAGGAAAATCCAATAGCGCCAAAAAGTCCCCCGGCTGATTCGTGTTCTTTTAGTAATTTCTTCAAAATCTTTGACTTTTTTAGGCGCTCAGCTCCTAATTCTCCTCCCTGAGTTTTGCAAGAAAATAGCAGTTCGTCGTGAGTAAAATTACGCAAACCCGAGCGACGTAAAAGGGTAAGAAGTTTACAGGCAGGATGATCAGATCATGGATTGATTCGGCAGCAGCAGCAATTGTCGTGTCTGCAATGAATTTCGATCCACCGGCAGCTATGATCTGCAAAGATTTTTCGACAGAAGCGACGACGACGTCTGCTTTTGCGCGTCGAAGGATATCAACTATCGTCACCACTTCAATTTCTTCGGAACCATTAGCTACTGGAATGATCACCTGTGAACTTTTCAAAAACTTAAATTTCAAAGATTCTTCAAAATAAGCGAAAAAACCATTCAGCTGGGAATAAAGTTTGAAAATTGTAGATACGGAAAGCGACTGTTACCTGAGGGCTGTGATTAAGCGACCATGAAACCTCATGGAATTCTTCTTTTCTAGAATTCTCATCGCCCGCCGTTAGCAGCTATACACACGAAACAAACACAACCTTTTCAGATTCAACAAAAAATCTTAATTACGAACATTTTCAGACTTCCGTACCATAGAATCACATATTTGCATTGCTACAGACTCGCCAAAGAGCTGTCCCACCAACGATACAGCAAATTCAAAAGAAGTCCCCGGGCCTCGACTAGTCGTCAGCTCTCCAGAGACTTTCAGGTTCGACTTGACAGCAAAGAAAGTGGGAAGCTTATCCATAAAAGCCGGATGACAAGTTGTCTACCAGAACAAGCAGTATACTAATTAGTCGACAATTACAGAAAACAAGCAAAAATATTGAGATGATTACCTGTTTTCTCCTGATTAGACCCCACGGCAAAAGTGTCACTGCCGGAGCAGCACATATGGCGCCGTACAATCGCTTTGCCTCTGCCTGCTTGCTCGTCATCTTCTGCAGAATTTTGCTGTCTGCTAATCTTGCCGAACCCGGCATTCCACCCTGAATATTTTCGACACAAATCAATCCCATTGTCCAACAAACTATACAAAAACACATGCTACATAACACATTTAGTCTCCCAATCATTACTATTTCAAAATCTTATTTAATACTCCCTCCCTCCGTACGATATATATTGTCTCATTTTACTATTTTGGGTCATCCCAAATCAACTATTCCATTACCACATCACAACAGAACTGTCGGTCACTTCTTATTATCACTACATAAATGACACTACTTGTAAACATTTATACCGATTATCAATAAAATATCGATATTCTTTAAACTCAGTGCCGAACAAGTATGTCCTAATACATTTGGGATGGAGGTAGTATCAAACTGCTCAATGTTAATCTCACTAGAATTTTCGCAGTCGAAAATCACATTACTTTTCTATTAAGCATACAAAGCTATAATCAAATTACCATTTTACAAAACTAACTACTCGATATTCAAAAGTTCACAAATTGCGTAGCATCTTGATGAAAACGTGCAGAGCTTAATAAGTACAGAATAGGAATGCCATATTATCATCCTTCTATATACTCTGCTCCAAGAAAATTAAAGCCCTTAAATTGCAGTATTCCTTCTAAATTATCACGAAATTTTAGCCAAAGAAAATCGAATGAGCAAGTGGAATCATCTGCAAATTTACAGTGGATAACTGACCGGTAATGCAATGAGATCAAAAAGTTCATCGGAACAAGCAGAGATAAGCGCGTCAGCCACGAGCCTAACTCCGCCGGAAGCCTCAACCTCCAGCTGCTCCTCCACGGACGCCACCGTCACCGCTGCACCGGCACACCGCAAAACGTTGGTAATTATCACCGCCTCCATCTCCTCTGTTCCGAAACCAATTGGAACCAAAACCTACCGCCATACAAATAACACGAATCTTCAAAAATCAAAATGAAGGAAATAAAATACAATCAAATAAACACTCTACTCTGTACAAAATCGTGCCCTACCTTTTTCGGGGAAATCGAGGAAGGCGAGGGTGAAGCAGGAGCGATGGTTGGAGTTGGGGGAATAGTTTTGGTTGGTTTCGAAGAGCGTCGTTTAGGAGCAGGCTTCGCTTGCGTTTTGGGGATCGGAGTTTGTGCAGTAATCGAGAAAGCTGAGAAGTTGAATGTCCCGGCGGCAATGGCTACCGGAGCCTTCGAAATTGGGATTGAGGCCATATGCGAAACAGACCGCATCCTTTCTCCTTCACCTCTTCTTCTTCTTCTTTCCTCCGTTCCTGAATATTTGTGACGAAAAAACTGCTAGGGCTTATGAACCTGCAGCAGCAGCAGAAGTATCCATAGCCGGATTACAGCAACAACAAAGATTGATTTTGAGGGAAGATTGAATAAGCAGCTCAGCTCCACTTTAAGTCAGAAGATTTAGGCGTGTCTGGATATCGCTCTTCAGCGTCACATCTCTATTCTCAAATTTTCAGCTCCCTTTTTCTATGTCATACCATTATTAATTTTGATCTTATTAAAAAAATATATATATTAATTTTTATTTAATTCAAAATAAAATTATTAATGGTGATGTACAAAGACTCAAGGTTGTGAGAATTCGAATTTTCGATTTGAATTCGAACCGACTCTCGAAAATTCAAAATTTTTGAAAAGAAGGTAATCCAAATTGAACTGAATTAACTGAAATGTGAAATTCGAAATTCAAAATTTGAATTAAAAAATCCGAACTAATTTGAAAAATTAGAAAAAAATCTAAATTTCAAAATACGGATGAAAAAATTCGAACCAAACTGAAAATTTCGAAAAAAAAAAAAAAAAAAAAAAAAAAAAAAACTCTTTTTTTAAAAAAATAATATTTTAAAAAAAAACAAACTCAGATTTTTATACATAATATTTTGAAATAATATTTTAATAAAGATACATAATAAAAAAATAGGAAAGCTTTTTGGGGTAGCACGAGCAAGAAGTGTTGTTGAAGGTGTTGTTTTCGACGATAGCTTTTTTTAAGGCGTCTCATCGTTTAGTTTACTACATTCACATTGTTTCTGTTGCTTACCTGTTTTTTTTTTTTTTTTTTTTGATCGTCGATCGACAAGTATGATTTAATCGAAATTAATTAGCTTAGAATGGTGTCGAGCTGTTTGCTGATTCAATTAGATTATACTGCTGCAGCAGTTTTTGCAAATAAAAAAGATCTCATTCTATACTATATTTGGGACTGAGAATTTTGAGGATTATATGGTAAAGAAATTTGAAAAAAAAAATAAATATAAGAACTAAATCTTACTTGTCGATCGACGGTAAAAAAAAAAAAAAAAAAACCAAACAAACACGTAAGCAACAGAAACAACGTGAATGTAGTAAACTAAACGACAAGACGGCTGTAAAAAAGCTATCGTATATTACCTGGGGTACTCGAAAACAAGACCTTCAGCAACACTTCTTGCTTGTGCTACCCGGAAAAGCTTTCTTACAATCGCAAGCGCAAAATAAATTGACAAATTTATATTTAATAATATGGTAGAGATTAAAAGTAGTAAATGAATAAAAGATAAAAAAAAATCAAATTTGTTGGACATTCCAAATAAAAAAATATGATACTTATTTATAAAAACGGAGGAAGTACATATATTATATTCATCAAACAAAATGTATAATTCAACACAAAATATTATTTTTAATATTATATATACAAATTCTCATATTTTATATAAAAGAACACATGAACACACCCAACATTTCGAACAATATATTATTATATGTTGTCTCAAAAATTAGGCCTATATTGGCTATTGCAAAGAAATTGGTCAAAAAATATATATATATAGTAAAAATTAGTCACGTTTTTATTATTAGTGGAGAGAAATACAAGTGGTTATAAGTTTTATTTTTATCTTTTTAAGTTATTATAATTAACTTTAAAATATTTTTATATTTATATAATTTTTTATCCAAATATCCTTCTATTAGTATTATAAGACACTAATAAAAGTATTTTTGCAATTTTTTAATTTGTATTACGTTTTGATATAATAACTAATATTCAAATATCAACACTAAAAAAATAAATAAGATCCTTGAAGTCTGACAGATGTAGTATTAAATTATTAAAAATAATGTTATTAACTATATATTTTTAGTTGTAATTTTATTTTAATTAATATTTTTATATAATATTTTTTAAAAATATTGTTAACGTATGAAATTTAGAGTTAGGTTAAAAAGCACAAAGTAAAAAAAAAAACAAAAAAAAATGGGCCTAGCAATCGAGTTGATCGAACTGGCTGAGGGGCACTATGGGAAACTTAGGTAAAATAGATATATTTCTAAGGAAATAGCGGGTCGGAAGGTCCGCAGGTCGAAAGGTCCTCAGATCGGGAGATCCGCAGGTCGGAAAGTCCTCGGGACGGAAAGTCCGCAGGTCGGGAAGTCCGCAGGTCGAAAGGTCCTCAGGTCGGGGGGGTTCGCAGGTCAGAAGGTCCTCAAGTCGGGAGGTCCGCAGGTCGGAAAGTCCTCAGGACGGAAAGTCCGCAGGTCGGAAGATGCTCAGGTCGGGAGGTCCGCAAGTCGGATGGTCCTTAAGTCGGGAGGTCTGCGGCTGGACCAATAAGTCGGATGGTCTTTAAGTCGGGAGGTCTGCGGCTAGACTAACAAGTCAGATGGTCTGTAGGTCGGGACGTTTGTGACTAGACCAAATAAGTCAGTGGTCTGCAAGTCGGGAAGTTTGCAGTCGGATCAATAAGGCGGAAGATTTGCGGTCAGGCCAAAGAGGCGGAAGATCTACGATCAGTCCAGGGAGTCAGACACTTTTGAGAGTAAGTGAGAATGATACTGTGGTCGGTTGAGGGCACGTGTCAGCAGGAGAAGGGTTAACAGACGGTTGAAATGGAGACGTTGTAACCGTTCGGGCGACGGTTTCCGGTACCGTTTCTCAAGGAGTATTTAAGGATTTGGATGTTTCTGTATAAGGTATCTTCAATCAACTTCAACAAAGCAAGGGATCACCATTTTAATTTCCAATTAATTTTTTTTTTATATACTTACAGTGTTTAGAGATTCCTAATCTCATGCGCTAATTAATCAAATTTAAGGATATTTTCCATATCTTTGAATTTTACTTTTTGTTTGTTGAAAAAATACATCAACAAATATAATAAAATATTAAAAATGTAGGTTATAGTTCGAATCAAAACAACAAACTTTCTATTTTCATTTTGGAATTTTCCAATAATTGTCCCGTTCAACAAAATTATTTTATCAAATTATAACTTAAAATATTCATTGTATAAAGAATGTTGTACAAATCGATGCTTTTCTACTTGATCTTGTCTTTGCGTTTCTTCCCAACATTGCTCATATCATCGGCCAAATATAAAGAATGAGATTGAAGCTTCGTTTGTTTCTTCTACTACAATTTCAAAGACTAAGACATTTTTGTTGGAAGATGAAGACCGAGATGATATCCCCAACTAAGAAGAATCACCATATGCGATCAGGAGAAAATCACACAAGTAATAGATACCGATTACGGTATCAAAAGATCGAATCGAACTCGAATATCTTGAATCATGGTTTTGATTTGATAGGTTCCATTACGATTTCATAATTGATGATTTCGATTTAAAAATCATTGATTTCGATTTTAACGGCCGGTTTATATTTATTTATTTTTAGTATTTATTTATTTATTTATTTTTAATTTTATTAAAAAAAATTGTTAATATTTATTTTAATCTTATTGAGATATATATTATTATTTATATATTGCAAAAAAAATTATATAAGTAATACTCTCTCCATTCCAAATCAAAGGACTAGTGGAAATGTGTAAAATTTTTTGTCTTTGAATTTATTTATATATAAGTAATTATATGTGTTATGATATTTTTTTAATTTAAATAAAAATTAATAGTATTTTGATATTAGTGCATAATTACTAAGAAAGAATACTTTTTAACATGGGACAAACAAAAATAGTAAAAATAGTATACTAAATCTTAAATTAAAATAAATTATAAAAATATTGATGTATTAAATAATAATATAAATTTAAATTAAATATAATTATAATTATATGATAGAAATTATAAAATATAAATATACAAAAATAAAATTATTTATTTTTTATCAATATTGATATTCAGTTTGCTCACATAACATTTTTTAAGAATAATTCTTCATAAATATTATTAAAAAATACAAATATACACATTAATATAATATATATTATTGTTGTCGTAAAAAAAATCGACACCAACGAATTGAAAAAGCCTGTTATGAATTAATTTAATTGTAAGATTCCCGAGCTTCTAGAAAAAAAAATTCAATTGTATATATTACTACCTACTTAACATATAGTAAATACCTTTTTCAATTTACAAAATATTATACAAATGCCATTGCTTTTATATTACACCATACTAATAGGAGTATTTTTATCTTTTTTACTACAATATAATATAATACTAATATTAAGAAATTTACGTGCAAAAAACAAACGCGACCCTTTCAACATGACGAAAAAAATATTAATAAAAAATCAATCATTCAATACAAAATATTAATACCTTTTATATTATAATACAGTTCCTAGTACCTTTCATACAACCAAAAAAAAAATAAAATCTAACTCTATTTTAGTAAACAAACTGATTATATTTATTTTTATACAAAAATATTATAATATATAAATCTATAATTATAAATATAGAGTTTGTTTATTTAGTAAAATAATTTTTAAAAAATATAATATTTTTTATATGAAATATAAAAAATTATTTAAATAATATAAAAATAATAATATATATAACATATTATTTTTTTAAAAAAAATATATTTTTTATTTTTTTGGCCCAATTCAAAACATTACATCCACCCACAGCCGCGCCTCCTGCACTGCTGATTCTGCTGCTGCTGCTACTCGGCCCGGTTCCGACCGTAGAAATCGAGACCGAACCGTGTAAGTTCGATGGCGGTTCCGGTTCAAATCGGAGCAGCCGGTTCGAAACCGATTTAACGAGTCTACAAGTAAACACGGCCCTTTTTATTTTCCCAGTTTGTTCGTCGTCTTCGTCTCCAAGCTTCGCTTCTTAGTTCCAAGTTCCGAAACCCTCCTCTTCTTTCTTCTCTCGCTTTGTCGTCGTCCTCTAAGATCGGGTAACTTTGTCCTCTTCTTCTACGGTTTTATTGGAAGTTGAATCGTTGCATTAATTTCCCTTTTTTTTTTTTTATGCTTTTAATTTCTATGCTGGCTGCTATGGGTTTTTAGGGTTTAACTGTTTGATGTAAATCAGTTGTGCTGATATTAGATAGATTTTAAGGGCTGGAATCTATTTAATATTTAATGCGACTATAATCAGTTTAATTTGTACTGATTCTGTGCATTCTGTTATTGTGAGTTCACCTCCTGTTTCTTTGGTTGGAATTTGTTCTTCTTCTTTTTATTTTCGATTCTTTGTATATTTGCCATGGTTTCAAATTTTTGTCTGCAATTTCTTATATATATATATATATACATATATATATTTCAATCATTTATTGAATTAAAAGCATTTACTGGATTAGTTCCTATACATTGATGATTGAAGTTACATCAAATCAAAATATATTTTTTATGTTGGTAAGAGGTTCTGTAATACCTCATAACCATTTTCCACATTTTGGTTACCTTGTTACCCCTGTATGAATGTTGTTGAGACCTTTATGCTGGAATTCTAATGGTAGATTTGCAAAGTTTCCCGTGAAGATTTTTATTATGGTTTAAGTTTTACATGTAGTTCTATCACTAGTAATTACTGAATTCTTATTTGTTTTAGGTCTAAATTAAATCGAAGAAATGTATATTACTAATAGTATTCTAGTAGCTTGTTACCTTATGTTTGGTAGTTTGCCATGCTTTTCATACATAGGAGAGAATCTGATGTTTTAGTTTATTTGCAGTTTGATCTACAGTGCCACATTTTAATATCAAGAAATGGACATTGACCCGGAAGTCCCAGAAAATATTGAATCGATGGCCCATGTGGATACTGAAGTAAACGCCTAGAACTCTGTAGAGTTCATTTTACTTTCTTTTTATTATCTTTTTGAGGTAAACATAAATGATCGTGATTTGTTTATTTTTCTGATTTTCAGAGTAAAGAGGCTGACGTCATATCCAAAACAATGGAACAATTGGATATCGGAGAGCCATCTTCTAGCTTCAAGAGAAAGCCGGTCATAATTTTAGTTGTGGGAATGGCCGGTATGTTTAGAAAACAAGGAATGCCTATGCTACTGCTATTATAAAGTATCGATTTCCATTGTTATATTCTGATTGATTCATGTACGAATTTGCCCAGGAAGCGGAAAGACTACATTTCTTCATCGCCTTGTTTCTCACACTGCTGCATCAAATATTCGTGGCTACGTCGTAAATCTTGACCCTGCTGTTATGACTCTTCCATTTGGTGCAAATATTGATATTAGGGATACTATTCGATACAAGGAGGTTATGAAGCAGTTCAACCTTGGACCAAATGGAGGAATTTTGACTTCTCTTAACTTGTTCACGACAAAATTTGATGAGGTAAATTGTTTGTTAAGGACTTGTAACTTTATAATAATAAGCAACCTGTTCATGAGACCACATTATTTAGCTGTTTTGGATATGTATATATCATAAATATGTTCGACAAGATGGAGGGGTGTTTTGGTCTAGCCAAGTCTGCCTTAAATGCAATCTTATTTAGGAAAATGAACGTAATCTTCCTTGTAGAGAAGTCACTCTCATTTGTGGTTTGGATTTCACTTTCTTTGAATTTGTGTAGAATTAAAGTTTTCTTTTGTCAGAAAGTTGTTTTGCAAACTGATTGTTCTAGATTCTTTTGTTTTATTTTTTCTTTGCATATTTTTTGTTAGATTTCGGATGTTTAGTGGCTTTATATCTGATATCAAATCTGTAATCTGTTAATATGATGATTGCTGTGATTTTTAAACCAAAAATTTAGACACCAGCAAATATTTGAATGGCTGATGTATTGTGGAAATAAATAATGTGTTGTCACAACAAATTTTTGCTGTAGGTTTTTATCGAAATCCTTAATGAAATACAAGTTCTTTTTGTTTGCAAAATTTTCTGTTTTTTTGTTCAGTCTTGTTTAACTTTTCAAGTAATCAAGGGAAGAGACTAATTTTTACATTCATGAGTGCAGGTGATATCAATGATTGAAAGACGAGCACCCCAGCTTGACTATGTTCTAGTTGATACACCGGGACAAATTGAAATCTTCACTTGGTCCGCTTCGGGTGCCATTATCACCGAAGCTTTTGCATCAACTTTTCCAACAGTAATTGCTTATGTTGTCGATACGCCACGTTCATCAAGCCCATCCACCTTCATGAGCAATATGCTGTATGCTTGCAGCATTCTCTACAAGACCCGGTTGCCGTTAATATTGGCTTTCAATAAGACTGATGTGGCCCAACACGAGTTCGCATTGGAGGTATATCGAATTACCCATTAATTTTTGCACTTTTAAGTTCCGAGTCGAAAATGTTTATTTAGCTGTGTTATCTTCTTTCTTGCCAACGACTTCACTAATGATTGTTCGGTTGTCAATTATTCTCTCCGTCTATTAAAATTAGCCCGCCTGGTTCTGGCACGGAGTTTAAAAAAATGAATATTTTATTGAAAAAGTGATAGGTAGTTGAGGATATTTTTGTAATTTCAGTTAGAAATTAGAGTAAATGAAGAGAGAATACTAGAAAATGGTATTTGTTGTAAATAAGTGTTGAATGAAAGACTAATAATTAAATTTGTTGATTTTGTCAAAATTAGTAATGAGATAAATTTAGTGGACTGACTAAAAAAGAAAGTGAGAATAAATTTGGCTGACGGAGGGAGTATTTGTTTACTGCATAACGTTTTCTCCCATTAATGCAGTGGATGAAAGATTTCGAGGTATTTCACGCAGCGTTAGATTCCGATCACTCGTACACATCAACGCTGACTCGAAGCCTCTCCCTTGCACTGGAAGAATTCTATAAAAATCTTCGATCTGTTGGAGTTTCTGCAGTCACTGGCGCGGGAATGGACGCCTTCTTCAAGGCCATCGTAGCGAGTGCAGAAGAATACATGGAAACTTACAAGTATGTTACACATCATTCACCTATTTAGACATTGAAATTTTGCTGCATCAATAAATTAAAATAAGAATCATTTCATTACCTAATGGCTTTTTCCGAAGGGCTGATCTCGACAAGAGGCGCGCAGAGAAGGAACGACTGGAGGAAGATCGCAGAAAGGAAAATATGAATAAGCTGAGAATGGATATGGAGAAGTCGAGAGGTGAAACTGTCGTATTGAGCACTGGTTTGAAGGATAAGGTGAACACGAGCATGGAGTGCGATGGAGAGGCAACGGATGAGGATGACGAAATAGTCGAAGATTCTGAGAGGTACAGTGAAGATGACGACGAGGAAGACGATGAAGATGAAGAGATTGCCAGTTTTTCATTAAAATGAATCTCAGGTATTTTTATATATACATAAAAACTCTGTTTGCTCTGAAGTTTGAAATAGGAGTGAGGCTTTAGTAGTTTCTATTACTTTGATTTGAGAAAGCTTGGGGTGTTTTTTTGATGGATTTGATTTAATTTTTAGTTAAAATTGATTTTACATTTAAAATTTTATTATTCAAAATTAAAATTTAAATTCAAAACCCACAAATAAACATATAATTTTTTGGGTTTGCTGGCTCCGCAGTTCTCTAGTATTTGATTTGATGTTTTGTGAGAGAAAGTGTATTTGATATAACGATTTTTTAAAAATGAATTGAGCTAAATGAGCGAAATATTGTATGTGAACAAAGCCTAAAACTCCCCGATCCATTATGGTTCTCATTGTTTCTTATTTCCTTTTATTTTTCGCCCGTCAATTTAGTGTAACCCGAGGCATTGTTTTCATTGGATATTTCTTTCCTCCCCTTTTGAAGTTGACCACAATATCTAGTTCTTTTAAATAACGTGAAAATTCGCAACTATTACCATTTTGTGCTATTTGGTTAAACTTCTGGTCGAGCACTGCAAATTAGAGTCGAAAGATAAGTCACAGTGGGCCAACTTGAAGAGAATCAATTAGTTTTGAGCTCGACATATTTGTCTTAGATTTATTGATGAACAAAATAAATGAGGCGAAGCCACGTTTAGAATTTGAAGAACAAGTTTAACATAGTCGTATAATCACTATAACTATCGACTCCCATATTCCAATAAAAATATAGCTCTTGAATTGTTTTATTCCTAAAATATTGAACCATTGAAAATTTTATCTCCATCCTCATTCTCATAATCATCATAGGGTGTCTGTTTGTTGCGGAATATGGTTCAGGAAGAAAAAATGTATGATTATAGATTATAAATATAACTAATGCAGAAACACAAACAAACAGACTCTTAACATTCTAGTAACACTCTTGCATTACCATATGCAATGTAATGTAACATATAGTTGCATTTCTGTCCAGGTAATATAAATCACACTCCCAATTTATGAGCTATATATTAATTGGAACAAACTTACCTACCAATAGCAGCAAGTGTTACCGTTGTATCGAAAACAGCTACAGGTCAGATTTCCTCGGATTTATTTAAAGATGTTTCGATCGCCAATCCACTTTGAAACTCACATCATCTCCTTCATCATCACTCGACGAAGATTCTTCATTTCCATGATTGGATTCTTCGATTTTCTTAACCACAGTTTCTGCTGCAGACTTGGAAGCTCTAAGCTCCAGCTTCTTCCGTCTTAATGTTTCCACTCTCTCTTTGTAAGCCCTGAGATTTCAAGAACCAAAAGTCGCACTTTTTTAGGTTAGTCTCAATTATACTCGACAAAAAAAATATTTGTGCTGCAATGGAAGATCACCTTTGCTCCACTGTCTCCTCCTCTTCAATCATTTCAGCAGCATCAAACTGCAGTATCGGCAGAAACAAAATGTAAGGCGTTAAAAGTTGAGTACGGGTTTCTTAGTTTATTAATGCAAAGATGATGGAGAATCTCAAACCTCTTCTTCCTCCAATCGGTTATCCACCTCCTTTAAATCTTCTTGAATTAACTTCTCAAACTCCTTGTATTCGTCCCTGCTCGAATAGGAGATAAACAAAATATGTTAACGACGTGACTGGAGATTTAAATATTGATGGGAAATAATATCAGTGCATGCGGAGCTTCTAGAAAATTCTGTCTACAGCGGAATTAAACTAGAGTAGGTTCAGAAATCCTTTCAAAAGTCTGGTATTTTTAATGCAGGAAGAACATATCAACTCAAATACTTGGGGCTTGTTTGGTTTTGGTTTCAAATCAAAATCACTACTGTTTAGCCGGCACTATTTTCAATAAAAATAAATTATTTTTTTTACGTGCATAATATTAAATAAAAATAATGTTTAAATCAAAACTCAAGTAAATAACTCAAATTCAAACAAAAAACAAACAAATCCTTGGGGCTTGGTATCACATGAATTCTATTAAAGACAGAGTACCTATCACCACAGCTAATCTATAACTGCCGTCATAGAGATTATCAACATTCCAATGCTCTACTTAAATATTCGGGTAATATAACTAACGAGTTTCAGCATATGGATCTTGGTGAAACCAATTTCTGGCCTAGATTCTTAAAGCTAATGGTTGTTACATACGTTTCCCTTTAAGTATCTACATTACCAGTGCTATTCCACAACACAAATCTAGAGGTGTAAAATTGTTCTACGCTTGTTCTTGTAAAACTCCATTTTAGCCATAATTTAAAATTTTAAAAACAGAGTTAGATCATCAGCCTATCTAGCATGTATAACATCCCGAGATATATTTGAAAGTTTCTACACGTGCATCTATAGTTACAGAGGTACTATGGGTTCATGATTAAATTCAAAGGCAACTCACTTGTGCTCACCAATTATATATAGAGTTTGAATCTGACAGTTTCTATTTATGTATACACTTTTAAAACTTTTGACATTATTCATCTATGATAATTTTATAAATAATATCACATCAAATATAGTTCTTTCACAAAACATCACATATAATACCGACTTTTTACTATTCCCAAATTTCTTCAAACCTCCACAAGTCTGTCTAAACGGAGAGTATATCAATCATGTGAGACCGGTAAGGAATATGGTAGCGCATCAAAACACAAGCTAAACAAAATGAAATAGAAAAGAAAGCTCACTTTACATCAGGCTTTACAGGCGTAATGCCCCGTGCACGTAAATCAGCATCTTTATCATCAAAAAAGCCTTCAGGAAGTGCTCCTTTGGCTTGTTTAGCTTCAGAACCAGTGGTAGATTTAGAAACCGGTTCATCGGATTCCTGAAATTCACGACTTCTCGAAGGCATGGTTGTGGCTGTGGATGATCTGTCAGTCTCAATCCCTGATACAAATGCCGCCTCAGCTTGAGTTCTTGCAGGAACAAAATCAGACTTGGGTCCAGAATCAGTTCCTAGAAAAGAAAAGCAAACTCATTCACAGTTCACACCCAATTAAAACTAATGAAGATAAGTGTTGCCTGAATCTAAATTAAAGCATGAAAAAAGAGCATGATCAAGGTAATTTAAATTAGTGGGATTGGTTCATAATGCATAACAAAATTACTAAGGATTACTGACATTTGAGAAAACACATGACAAGCATCCAGAAAATGAAGCGCTAAGATTAAAATGACAAAAATTACTAGTTGTTAAATCATTACATGTGCCTGTGCGACACAAAAGCATAATCCAATACTACAAGCCAAACCAAATTCTTACCAGCTTTCTGCCTCTTTGTGTCATGATTATCAAAAAAATCTGGAGGAAGATTAGAAGAATGATGTGAAGGCAACACGGATGAAGGTGCAGAATTGTCATTCAACTCTTCAGATGACTTAGATTTAGGCTTTGGCAACTCTTTAGCTGCCTCAGGTTTGGACTTTTGCACCGCCTTAGCAGACACAGCATTATTTGGCCGGTTTGCAGCAGCAGCAATGGCTTTAAACTTTTCAATAGCCTGAACAAACATAAGCATAAATGTAGAATAAGTGACCTACAAATAATCACTCGTGACCCATCAAGTTATCAAGTATCAACAATAAAGAGCTGCATAAATTATGCTTCTAGGAGATGAAAGCAAGTTAATCAAGGATCATGCGTTAGCAACAAGAAAACTAAATCCACATTTGGGAATTGGAAACAGAAAAACATCTTGTGTCAGTCTCTGTGTGTGGGTGTGTTTTTTTTACTGTGTGCATTTTTGGTTTTATTCTATTTATTTATTTTCTATTATTATTTTTTTTTTTTTTTTTTTTTGAGGTGACTAGTGGCTGGATACGGTGTTTTGAATGAAAAAAGAAGTGTTGGAAATCAAGAATTACATCACCAACTTTACTAATAGAATAAGGAAATCAAGAATTTCACAACCAATTTTACAGAGGTAGAGGGAGAAGAACAAAAGGTCTAGAGGAAAAAATAAAATTAACATGTATTTACTACATTAACTTCAACAAACTATTGATGTCCTAAAGAACACAAAAACTGAAAGACTATGGTAAATGGCACAGCACAAAAACTCACAAATAGCACAATATGCAGTTCCATGATGGAGAACTTTAAATTATACGTGATAAATGACTCCTAACTAAAATACACACACACAAATGTAATCACAAGACAAATATGAATGCATGAGAACCCATTTCCACCTTTTATCGATTATGCCAAAATGACTACACAAAGGCTCTATGTTCAAGTATTGCATATCTTGCTGCATTAGAATGCCAAGCCTGTCTACTTATCATGCCCATTAATTATTGATTTCATTAAGAAGACTATACTCCTAAACCAAAACATAAAATTAGTAAATAAAAAAGATGAAAAAAAAAAAAAAAAAACAACCACCACCACCACCAAAACCAAACAAGCCTTCACGTACTATATAGGTAGCGGAAAAATTTTAAACTGTTATCATCCACTACAAAATTCTCTTCATAGATTTCTCATAATATTATGTTAGTAATTAGAAGCTTACCTCGTGGTGCTTACGAGAAGCTTGGTGAGCCGGCCAAAGTGATTCAGATTTGATGACAACATCACAAACTTTACATACAGGTTGGTCATGCTCATACCTGCATTTACAATTTACAAAGAGATTTATTTAATCCTCTATGGAAACAACTACAAATTACAAAAATTTATATCAACAGAAAAACCAACACTTTTTAGGCTAACTCAATTGATCTTTCTATGGATGAACCAGAGGCGTAATTTCAAGTGTATCATTCTAAAATCATGCTGCATATTAACAATAATAAATTCCTATTTTTAATCAGATAGTTCAACAGGATCACTTCAAATTCCATGCTCACACCATCACATAGAGTCAGATATCACATCACATGCAATATTATGAACATACATAACACATGTAAAGCCAAACATATATAAATGAATTGTGCATCGGGGTTTCACTAGGGCATGACAGTTAATAAGAAACTTTAATTCTACATAAATTCAAAGCATTCAGAACAATCACACTGTCATTCTAGAAACTTTAAACTCAAATTTGTAAGCAGTTTCTAGGACTTGATATCAGAAAATAGTTTCTCTTACTAAGGTGTCCAAAATTAAGAATAAATTGGCATTCAGAACAATCACACTGTCATGGAAATAGAATGATCATAAAAAATCACCTAATAAAAGGAGAATCAATTCGCTGCTTTTCCTGCTTTTGTGCATTCAATTTTGCTCGAAACAATGCTTTTGATTTCGCTTTTGCGTCCATTTTCTAAATGTATTACCTGAAAAATAATCAAACAATAATCTTAAACTTTCACTCTACAACTTAATCCTTTCCTCCTAATTACATATATGTCCTAATTTTCAACTTGAAAGAAACATAAGTAAAACATCACCATTGAAACATGTATAAGCTAGGGTAATGGTCAATGGCTCACGGCAATAATTTTACATTAAAATTTTTAATTTTTCGCTGGTTAAAGAGCATACTTAGACTCTACATCATGATATATGCTAATAATTTCTTTGGATGAGAAATCCTAACTACTCGTAACATTTAACTATAACAGATGTATACAAATACGAGCAGAACATGATGAGAAGGGAAAAAAACTCAACTCAAGAGTAACTGCAAACACAAAACAAATATTTCAAATCTACATCCAAATCGTACGCATAATAATAACAGTAATAATGATAATTAAACCAAACGCATATAGGGTTAGAGTCCATTCGTCGATTAACATAAACAAATAAAGAATTTCAAGAACAAGACCTACAGCTTACCGAATAATTTAGGGTTTGAAGAACGCAGGCTGTGGCGGCGGCGGCGGCGGCGAAAGCAATGGAAGCAGCGATAATGATGAAAGAAGAAGAAATTTAGGAAGAAGACGGAGGAAGATTCGAAAGAAGGGGAATGAGGAGGGATACTATTTGGAGGATCCGAGTCGGTCCAGTATCCTTTTAACCCGGTCCCGGCCGGGTCAGACCTGGCCCGGTTTTGGGTTTTAATACAGGTACTAACGTGAATCCCATGCTACACACGCTAAAATTCTAACATATAAAAAAAATAAAAAATAAAAAATAATAATAATAATTAAAATATTAAAATTAATATCCAAATATAATTTTAATTATATATCTATATGTGCATAGATTATAATTTCATTTTAATATAATAAATATTTTTAATAAAAATATTTCAATATATTAAATATATGTCTATTTCAAATAGAAAATTTAAAACCATAAATAAATTTTTACATATAAGTTGTATTTTAATATTACATAATTTTTTTTTTATAAATTATTCTATAATAATGATTTGATAATTTTATTTGAAAGAGTTAATTTTATATTCATTATTGATAATATTCAAATTTATATATTTAATTCATTTGAATATTAGAAGAATATATTTCTTATGTCTATTATTTTTTTATTATAGTAAAAATAATTATACAATAAAATAAAAATATCTTTAGTTTTTGTATAAAGTGCTAACATATTACACATATATAAAGTATAAAATGCAAAAAAAAATCTAAAATTATTTTACAATTTTACTAATTAATAAAGTAATAATACTTTCATTCCACCTTCTTCCTCAAATATTTTTATTTTTGTTTATGTCTGTCTCATCTTATTTGTCATTTAATTTTTAGAAAAAATAATTAAATTTAATCATATTTTAAAATTTATAATCAATTTTTTAATATTAATTAAATTAATTAATTATCTTAATTTTAATATTTAATTATTTATATGATATAAAAATTATTTGTACTAATATACTTTTTAATTATTTACTAATTATATTTTACCTAAATTCATGTAATTACAAAAAAAAAATTGACAAAAAGTACGAGACAGAGGAAGTATTTATTAATGTACTATAAAAATTCAAAATGGTGCATTCGATTAAAACGGAAGTTGTATTACAATATATATATAGAGTAAAAACACCTCTTTTATAATAAAAATAAAAAAATTATACAATTTTATCTATTTTATTATTTTTAAAATACGTACACAATCAAGTCTTGATTATCGATTGAATACTTTTGTTTTTTTCTAAAAGTAATAATAAATATATATCCATACTAAAAATTTTTTAATATAAATTTAAATGAAATATAAAATATACATGAACAAAAGATAAATTAAACACTTATATTTTATTATCATATTATCTTAAACAACATAATTTTATATTTTAAATATCACTTAAAAATATATTTAAATAACATAAAACAAAATTTCAACTTATGATTCTTAAAGCAAACCCTAACACAACACTAAACAAACAATTTAACTAATAAACATTTGATATAAAACATTTTATCTACTTTTATTCTTTTAAAAATACTAATTATCTGAAATGACTCTTCATTTTCTTCACAACATTTATTATTATTATTATTATCATTATTATTATTATTATTATTAAAAATAATTTTATTAATCAGAATTGATTATTTAAAAAATTAAATCTTCATTCTCTCACAATGGTAATGATTGAATTATATATATACATATAAAAGATAAATTAGTACACTACATACTCTATTTTTAAAAATAGATTTAAAAAATTATAAACAAATAACTAATAAGATATCTAAAAAATTAAATTAATATATCAACATAATCCTTCAATTATTATTTATAGTAAAATGAAATATAAATTATACGTACAAAATTATATACAATTTATTATTAGATATAGTATTATCTAATATAAATTTAAACTAATTAGAATTATATTTACTATTATATTTATTTTTTTAGATATAATAATACATATGAATATTAAAATTATATAATCAATAAATAATAAAATTAATTTTGCAAATATCTAAATATATTAATAAAATTATTATATAAAAAAGTCTATGGAAATAATTATGATAAACTAAATATTTCTATTTAAATGATATGATATTTAATATATATACACATAATAAAAATTGTTATGAGTAACCATTGATTAAATATATATTAAATAAATAAAAATATATATTGGCTCATAATATTTTAACCAATCAAAAATTAAAGAAAAAAATTCAAAATGGTTATAAATTCATGCTTTACATTGTGGTAGGAGACATAATGAGTTCAAATATATTTATATGTATATATATACACGCGGGTAGGCTTGCGCTGTTGCCCATTAAGTTGCCGATTACAAATCGCAATTGAAACCGTTATTCCGGTTCGATTTTGGTTTGTAATTTCTCAAACTATAAACCGTCGATTTACGGTTTGAATATAAGGTTTGGTTGGTTCGGTTGCCGCGTCTGTGGATTTGTAATTGTGTAAATGTATAGATTATGATAAAATTGTATATTTTATAATAATAATAATAATAATAATAATAATAATAATATATTTATAATTAAATTTTGGATAAATTATATAACACCTTATAGTATTATAGTAAAAATGCACAAAATATCTTGTATTTTATTTATTGCGTGAAACTCTCTTGTGCTAATGTAAAGTTTGCACGAAACACTCTATTTGTTTAAAACTGATATCTGATTCTAAATAAAGACTTAAATTACACAAGTTCTATACAAATAAAAAACGTAAAATATTTTAAATAATTTTTTGAATAAAATAAATAATTGATCAATCATTTATATTTATAATTTTTATAAAAATTTGATATCAATTTGTCTCAAAAAAATAAAAAAAATAAAGGATTAATCAATTATTTATTTGTTTATTTTATTCAAAAAAATTATTTAAGATATTTTGTATTTTTTGTTTATATAAAACTTGCGTAATTTAGGTCTTTATTTAGAATCAGATACCGGTGTTTGACAAAGAGGGTATTTCGTGCAAATTTTTCATTAACACAGGGGAGTTTTAAGCAATAAATAAAATATAAGGTGTTTTGTGCATTTTTACTGGAAACACAAGGGGTATTATATAATTTACCCTTAAATTTTTTATAAAGATAAAAATAATATTCTATCCGTCCCTTAATAATCTGTCCATTTTTCTATTTTAGTTCGTCACGTAACAAAGTATTCATTTATTTTTTTAGTAACGGTACTTTTTACTAATATTAAAAATACTCTTACAACTTATAATATATTACACAAATGTTATTACTTTTATATCACGCAATACTGATAAGGTTATTTTTGTCTCTTATACTTTATTCATATCACATCCCAATATAATACTAATATTCTTAAAATCTTGTGTAAAAAGAAAACAGATAGATCGATAAGTGACAAATGGAGTATAAATATAAATAATTATTAATGATATTGAAAATAATACTCCCTCCGTCTCAAAAAAGATGTCTTATTGGGAGTAGACACGAGAATTAAGGAATAATAATATTTAATTGAAACTAGTATAAAGTATAAGGTAAAAGACTAAAATACCCTTGCTTTTTAAATGATTTCAAAAAGTAGGCTAGAGTAATAATTATGGGTAGTAATAATTATGGGTAGTTTGGAAAAGTATGAATAAATTTGTTATAAAGTGGAAACTATAACTAAATAAGGAAACAAGACAATTGTTTTGGGATGGACATAAATGAAAAAATAAGACAACTCTTCCGGGGCGAAGGAAGTAATTCTATATAATACGAATAATTATCTTTTTATTTATATTTTAAATTTTTTAGTTTTTTATTATATAATTATATTTAATTCAAACTATTTTATTATCTAATAAATCAAAATTTCTATATTTATTTTTATTTATTTTTAATTTAATTAATTACTAAATTTATTATTTTAATTATTTTTATATTGTAACGTCTAATTAATTATTATATACTACCTCCATCCCATAAAATCGGTAACATTTGCTTTTTGTACGTAGATTTTTGAATATTAGTATTATATTGGTTAATAATAATGACAAAAATATCCTTATTGATTGTGTGATACAAAAGTAATGACATTTGTGTAATATATTGGAAGTTGTAAGGGTATTAATTATATTAAGTAGGTAGTATAGTTACTAGGAAATAATATCCTTTTTTGGAGCGGACAAAATTAGAAAATGGTATCCTTCTTACGAGATGGAGGCAGTATATGATTTTTACATAAAAAAAACTAAATAATAAATATATATAAATAAAATTAAAATTGAATTAATTTTTTTAAAAACAAAATTCAAATTTTAAAAAATAAAAAAACAAAAAAATATATTAAAAATAAATATATGTAAATGATTCACTAAAAAAATGTGAACAAAAAAAATATACTACATTAAAGAAAATCTATATATTTAAATTTAGGATATATGAATTATTTATTATAATTATAAATAAATAAGAATATACTATTATAAAATTAAATAACTACTAATATATTTAAATTTAATATTTTATTTTCACTAAAAGGCAATGTGGAGTATTTCCCACCCTAAAATAAGAGTATGTTTATATTACACATCGGATACTATTTATTTTTTAAAAAAATATCTCATTAAATATATTTTTTATCTTATAAAATATCATATTAAATATTTTTTTTTTAAATTTTAAAATTTTAAAAATCTCCAAAAATTCCTACCTAAACATATTTGATCATTTATAATTATATTTGTTAAAATATCTATATGAATTATGTATATATCTTTTTAAAGGCTGCCTTGATAAAATAATTTTTTTTGTATATTTTATATATTATAAAGGTAAATTATACCATAAAGTATTTAAATAATAATAATAATAATACTCCCTCCATCCCAGATACCGTGTCTGCTATACTGTAGACACAGTATTTTAGGGGGATTGTAACTAGTAGATAATTAAGAATGTATTAGTGAAAATAATTATTTTATAATATAAATAATTATTAATTAAGATTAATATAACTAATTAGTTTAATTAAAATTTTAAAAAAAATTAAAAAATTTTAAATGAGATTAAAGTGTATAATCATGTTTCAAAAAAGAAAAGTAACATAGTATGTGAAGTGGACATAAACGGAAATGCCAACATGGTATTTGGGACGGAAGGATTAATAATTTAGAAGGTACGCAATTATTTGCTTGCAAGCAAGAATTATTGCATGCCAGCGGTGATCTTCTGAGCCTTCCATTTATTTTGCATTTTGAGTTGAGGCACACAAAAAGCAGAAAGGAAGGCGGTTTACTCTTCTTTGTTCCTTTATTTTACTCCCTTCGTGCAAAAGTATATTCTTATTGTCCTGGATACCATATTTAAAAAATATTGATATTATATTAATTATTGGTAAAAAATAAGAATAAATGATTTTTTTGCTCTTGTGAGTATATTAATGTAAAAAATAATGTCAATTATGTAATAATAATAAAGAAGTAGAGATAAGTTTACGGTGATATGATTATTTATGTAAATAAGACTATTATTTTGAAAGGGACAAAAATTGTAAAGAAGACTGTTATATTGAAACGAATAGAGTATTATTTATTTTAAGCATAATAATAATAATAATAATAATAATAATAATAATAATAATAATAATATCAACTCATCCACAATCCAACCATTCCATGAGTTTCCTTTAATTCACTAAGGCTAACAAGTAACAAACAAAATCGGTGCGTTGGGTTTAAGTCTGTCAATTGGTATATTTTTCTCGATTCGGAACATCATATGAATATCGAGTCTGTATCCGTATTTGGGTCCGAATCCGTTTTATATAATCTCGAACATAGTATTTCTAGTTCCAATTTCGTGGTTTTGTAAAATACATAACTTTTTAAATTATAAAAATATTACAAAATTAAAATATAATAACATGTTGAAAATAAATTACAAAAATAATATATATATATATATACATTTATAATATTATATATATATATGTCATTCGTCCCAATTAAAATGGGATAACATGAGGAAAAAATCTCAAACATTTCCGTAGAGATGTTTGAGGGATGACATGTCACGTGACCTATTGTAACATGTATCCTATTTAATTATTATTTTTACTCTATTTAATACATAAAATTTATCATTTATTTAAAAATAATATTTAATAACATCTTTTTAAAAGTTAAATGTATGTTTAAAATAGTAAACATAAGAATAAATTATTTTTTAAATATCGTACATAAATCATTAATAATTTAAGAAGTGTAACTAGATTTTATATTGGATTAGTGCCCCAACTAAAACAATTTGACAGAAATAGTCATCTAGCGCCGAAGTTATTGATATAGCAGCGTCGCGACACGTAAAAAATTGTGTAAATGACACGTAGGCAACGTTTGAAGATCATTTCTGCCAAATTTTTTTAGTTATGAGACAAATTCAGTACAAGAGTCTAATTATGTTACAGAAATTTCTAGGAAATCAAGATGAAATAACAAAGACAAAAGAATACAAGAATTTGATAACCCATTTCGATCACAATGATCTAAGTCTGGGGGCGTTGCCAAGCCAAGAATTTTACTATAAAGTACGCAGACAGGCGTTAAAGTGAGAATACATGGATATTTATCGGCTAAGCCTACGTAAATAATATCCAAACCATATCTCTAAAATCTAGAATATAATATCTAAATCATATCCAAATTATATCCCTAGATTTTAGGATATAATCAGGCTTCATATCTCAACAATCTCTCACTTGAAGACTGATTGTATCTTCCACTTCAACATTTTACTCATTCGCAATGACAGCGCCAAGCTTCATTCTTCACTCATCGAGGCCCATTGAGGTTAAACATAACCTCAATTCATCTAAGGTCACCACCTAGATTGTCTTTCAGGATTGCTCATAAATCGACTTACTACTCCCACTGCACGTGCTTTCCACCTCCTAAAGGTATCAAAAGCATCGTAATTACACTTAAGGAAATATACCTATACCTCCCTTGTAACATCGTCAATGACCACGGGGTAGTACTGTGAGCCTCCAAGGATCGATACAAAAGTTGGTTCCCACAGGTCCGTATGAACCAACTCCAACTTTTCCTTTTCTAGGTCTCTCCCACCCTTTGAGAACGCCACCTTTCGTTGCTTCCCAAAGATACAGTCCTCGCATACTCCAATCTCGACAGACTTGAAACCTAACAATCTTCCCTTTGACATGAGCTTCTCTATCCCCTTCTCGCTCATGTGTCCGAGACGAGAATGCCATAAATTTGTGTCATTATTTATGGCCACGGAACTGATTCCGTCTTGCATGGTTTTTGTCACGTAGAGTGTTTTATCTCTTCTCCCTTGGGCCACCACAATGGATCCTTGAGTTACCTTCACGACTTAGTTTAAAAAACTGTCGAGTAACCTACCTCAGCCAATTGTCCCACGGAAATCAGATTCCGTTTTAGACCCATGACATGTCTCACGTCATTCTATTTCCACTCCTCACCATTCGGTGTTCCGATTCGAACCATCCCTTTACCTACAAATTGTAGTGTCTCATCACCTTCAAGATAAACAACACCAAAATTACCTGCGGTATATGATTTCATGATTCCCGAATCACTGCATGAGTGGAATGACGTTGCTAAGACCAAAATCCATGACTCCATTGGACTGCTGACGCTCAGAATTAGCGCATTGGATATATCCTCCGCTGCGATTGCCGAACCCTGATCCTTCTCTGGCGCCTCGCACTCTCGTTTCAAGTGCCCCTTGCAGTTCCAATATACCACATGACTTGCATCTTCCTTGTCTGTGTTCTCCGGCTTCAACTTTGACCATTCTTGATTTTCACCATTTCCCTTTGCCTCAGATCTAAATTCAGTCGAGACATTCTCCCAAAGGGTTAGTCGAACCGCACTCATCGTCTTCCTGTCGATCTTCTTTTACTCGACTTCATCCATCTTGACTCCCACAAACAAACCTAAGGTTTACTTGATATGAGAGCACATCGGATATCTCACCTCAGATCTAAATTCAGTCAAGACATTCTCCCAAAGGGTTAGTCGAACCGCACTCATCGTCTTCCTGTCGATCTTCTTTTACTCGACTTCATCCATCTTGACTCCCACAAACAAATCTAAGGTTTACTTGATATGAGAGCACATCGGATATCTCGCTTCAGATTTAAATTTAGTCGAGACATTCTCCCAAAGGCAAAGTCAATAAATCAATATTTAATTAGTACTCTTCATTCAACACTTTTACAACAAATACCAATAATGTTATTATGTTCTCTATCTTTGTTTACTTTACTTTTTAACTAAATTTTCAAAAATATCTCAACTACTTATCACATTTTTAATAAAATATTCATTTTTTTGAATTACCGTGCAGAACCCAAATAAACTAATTTTAATGGACCGCAGGTATATTTGGCAATATGTTCATTTTGATTATGAGAGCAAAAGTGTTATATCTAGATAAATTCATGAGATGTAAAAAACAAAAAAAAATACAACTTTTTATTATTTCTAAAATTTTATAACACTTTATAATTATCAATTGTTTTAAAATCTAAATAAAATTATTTAATTCAAAATATTAACTAAAAATAATAATAACGTGATATGATATTTATTTTGAAAAAAAAAATCATATTAACGTCATCAAAAGTAATTTAAAAATCTATATATAAACAAATTGCATATACTTAAAAGGAAAATAATAAATTATAAAACACACCCCAATTTTAGATTGGTTTACACCGCACGCCTGTATAAATTCAATAGTTAGGCATATTGAACGTGGGATTAAGCAAAGCAGTTTTTGAGTTTGTTTATTGAAGCATATTATAAATCTGTAGTTCCTCTGTAATTTGTAGGCTCTTCCTCTCCGTTTAACAGAAATCGCAACTCTTCTGCAATCGGTTTGAGAAATAGAGAGCGAGAGAGACTCTCTGTTGCTTATCTGAATGACTTCAGTTAGGTATGGAAATGGAATTCATGCCTCAATCTCAATTCTGCAAAAGACGTACTCATGATGATGATGCACATGTGATAACTTATATATATATATATTTATGTATGTATATTTCTGTTGCGTGCATATTCTGGAGTGTGAACTGAAGGTTCCTTGGCGCAGGTGCCGATTCAGGATGAATTTCTATCCTTCGGTGCTGTTCTTCTCGATTTTTCTCATTGGTTGTTCCTCTGCTCTCGAGGTAAATTGAATGTTTGTTTTGCTGTTTTTTATGGTCAATCAAAAGCAAACCAGAGGCCGCTTGTGTTGCCGTGTATAGAATTTGTATGAGTGTTTGCTCAGATAATCAGTTTCTGTATTGTTTGGTGAACGGTTGCAGCAAGGAGAAACTTGCGTCGCGAACAAAAACTGTGACTCGGGGCTGCATTGCGAGACTTGCCTTGCGAACGGCAATGTCCGGCCGCGGTGCACTCGTCTTCATCCTGTCAATCCATTTTCAAAGGTTTGTTGGTCAATCGCTGTATTGATTTTCCACATTTTCTAAGAATCGGTTTATCACCATATCCGCTTTAATTTTAGGATTGCTCTGTTTTTATTTGTTAGAAAATGAAATTGTGTCGAACTTTTGAATTACTTGTTATTCCTGCTTGAATTTGAAAGGAATTTCGATTGTACAAAACTTCATACTGTTAAATGACTTAATGGAGAAGAGCTAATAATTCACGTTTTGAATACCTTCTCTTGATTAATTCTGACGCAATCAAAGTTTAGGTGAAAGGATTGCCGTTTGATCGGTACTCGTGGCTAACAACTCACAACTCCTTCGCCAGATTTGGAGCCAAATCAGCTACGGGAAGCGTAATATTATCTCCACAGAATCAGCAGGACTCCATAACTAGTCAGCTCAGTGTAAACCATTCTCACTTTTCCTATTTCCATTCTCTACTTTGCATAAATTAATTTTCCCTTTTCCATAGTTTGTTTTACATGTCATTATGATGCTCACGTGATCTTGCGCTGTCGCCAGAAAGTAGTTTTTGGGGTTGTTAGGGAGTGTGTTATGCGTTTTGCCATCCAATTTGCTGTTTTTTTAAGTGAGGGCTAGACATTCCATTAAAAATTTCTTGGGTTTTTTTTTTTTTTTTAAAAAAAGTATATTATTATTATAATATAATTTTATTTTATTTTATTTTGTTGTTAAGGAAAGGTTTTTTGGGTTGACCATTGGCCTAATAGGGAACTAACTACTCCTAATTAACCATTTCAAAGGTGTAGCAAAACGACTTTGTAGCCCAATTAGTTTAAAAAATTACTAGTTGGAAAATGGATCTTTTATAATTAAATTTGGAACTAGCATAGATGTGTCTTGGGTTTGTGTTTATATTTTATATTTCGATTATAGTAAGAATAGTAATTTTTTAATATGAAAATTTAATAATAAAGAAGTATAATAATAAAAAAAATTGTTAAAAAATAGGGCTTATTGAAGTCACAAAGACAATAGACAATAAAAAAAGAAGGTATTTTCTGGAGTTTGGATCGAGAAGATTTTATTTAAATTTTGTATTTGAAAAAGAATGTTATTTTAATATTAAATAAAGTAGATATAAAGTAAAAAATAAATATTATAGAAAATATAAATTGGTTATTGTTCGTTAAAATAAGAGTAATAAAATTACGAATTTATAGAATTATTTATTATAAATAAATTGTGTATAAATTTAACAGTCTATCAACAACAAAAAAAAAAAAAAAATAATTACATAATTGTGACGTATGGATAAAATATAATATTTTGATACTAGTAAAATTTGATAAACTAAATCCAAAGAAACTATAACTTGTCTTGTGAAGCCTGGAAAGATTCTATTTAGGTTGCAATTCTGGCAGCTTTAATGAGATACAGCTGTGGAAATTATTTAAAGTTAGGCAAACGCAACGCTATTGTCGCAGAGTTAGAAAGGCTGGTTAAATATTCATTTATTTGACTACTCTTATTTATAGGCAATTATCTTACCCCTTGTTGCTATCTGAATCTAAGTTTAAATTTGAATTTATGAAATGGTAGTATCAAGTATGAGGCTAAAGCAAAAGAAAATAATATTTTTCTTTCTATAGGTTTTGTTCTTACCTGACTGACTTAAAAATTGTGTTAAAAGGTAATTATCAAGAATAACTAAAATTTAAAACAAACACAACCTAACAATCTTGCCGAAAGATTTAATAATTTAATTAGTGTTACATTTTGATTTTTATAATCATCTTTCATTTAAACTGATACAGCCAATTTTATTATAATAATTATACATCTAAAACACTTTATTATAGTTAAAAGTTAAGCAGGTGATTGACTATTGCTATGAACATGTTTTGCTTAACTATTTTAAGTAGAAATATGTATTTAATATAAATTTAAATGAAAATAATTTATCTCAATCCAGCAAAAGTATATTTGTTTGGCCGGGCATATATAAAAATAAATTAATCAATTGTATTTAATACTGAAATAGAATTTATATAGAAATATTTTGAAATATATATTAGAATACGCATTTAATTGATGATATATTTGTGATGTAAAGATGGTGATAAAATTATCATATGTGTTTAAATTAATTATAATTTTTAAGTCAGTAGAAATATAGTTGCTATCTATTGTGCGTGTATATACTTAATTGACAAATTTAATGAAAAGTAAACATACCTTGTTTTAAATTTGAAATATTTTGTATATAATATTTTTAGTGAGAGATATGAGTTAGAATGCAAATATTTTTTAAGAAAAATATATAATAATGTAAAATAAATTGTGTGAAATAACGGAATATTAAAATTGCAAGTACCTGATATTGTGTTTACTAGGAAGATTATAACCATATTATTTTAGGTTTTTATTTTTAATTTTATATGAATATCATTCTTTTATCTTAGATTATCTTTGAAGGAAAAAATTAAATAATAAAAGTTACTGAAATAATATAATAACAAACCCTTAATTTACATATTAATTCATCACTAAAGGGTGTGTATGCTTTGTAGGATAAAATGAAAATTATTTTTATTTTCAAGTGTATTGTATAAATGTTTTTTTATTTTTTTCTTTTGAGGTGTATTATTATTATTATTATTATTATTATTATTATTATTATTATTATTATTATGTGTTATCAATTTATACTTTACATTTCTATTATATTAAAATAAAATTTATACTGTTAATGTATAATTATTTTTGTCCTTATATATTCGCATGTTGCATTGAATAATACCATTTGAAACTGTAACTACAAATAGTTTGTATAAAATAGTACTATCTTTCATCTTTAGTAGTTGAAAAGGATTTGGTATAGATATTTTTGTCGGTATATATTTCACATGTTGTAATCAATAACATCATTTGACACTATAACTATAACGAAAGTGTGCATTGGGCAAATCCCAACCGCACTTAATATTTTGCAAACTAGGTCTGACAGATACGTCACGCTAGGCGATCCATATGTAGCAGGTTACCTGAGGCGTCGGGTGTTTGAACGCATGACCTCACGGTCACAAGTCCAACCCCCACGCCACCATGCCATCCTTTCGAGACAATAATCTTTGATCTTTAGTAGTTGAAAAGATTATATGGTACCGAAATATAATTGAATATGTTGAAATAGTACATCTGAAATTGACATGAATTGTCAATAATATAACAATTTCTAACATCAAACATCAAATTTGGACCTGAATTCTAATTTATAAATGAATATGCAAATATATATGATTTAATAAATATATAAAATGAATTTTACATCAATATTTAGTGCTAAAAATTGTTACTTAGCTAGTCCATGTCAATATGTGTTTTCAGTAATGACTATTGAAAACAGATCTGATGCTATTTCCTCGTAGTCACGCATTATCTTAGCGCTGCTTAATATGTACATATTGTTGCAGAACGGGGTGAGAGGATTGATGCTAGATATGTATGACTTCAACAATGATATCTGGCTATGCCATTCCTTTGGAGGAAAGTGCTACAACTACACGGCTTTTGTAAGTATGTCCAGCCTGTGTGTCAATGTGTTCAATACCATCATCAATGAAGCCATTAATTTACTCATGTTTATGATTCTAATAAAACTTAATATTACTGCTCACCAGCAACCTGCTCTAAATGTCTTGAAAGAGGTCCAGCTGTTTCTCAAATCGAATCCTTCCGAGATAGTCACTATCATCATCGAAGACTATGTTACATCTCCTCAAGGCCTGACTAAGGTTTTCAATGCTGCTGGATTGAGAAAATTCTGGTTTCCGGTGTCGCGAATGCCCAAGAACGGCGGAGAGTGGCCGTCAGTCGATAGCATGGTAAAACAGAACCAACGATTAGTTGTCTTCACTTCTAAATCTTCAAAGGAAGCATCGGAAGGCATTGCGTACCAATGGAAGTACATCGTGGAAAATCAATGTGAGCCTACTAATAAACTCCGGGACTTTTTTTACATCCTATGTATTGAAACAGGTCGTTTTGTTATTACTTTCTTGTGTTATGAAATCACAGATGGAAATGGCGGTATGACAGCTGGATCATGTCCTAATCGAGCAGAATCATCTCCAATGAATGAGACATTGAGGTCCCTTGTTCTAATGAACTATTTTCCAGACAATCCTGATCTCGCCACTGCCTGCAAACACAATTCAGAGCCTTTGATCACAATGATGAACACATGCCATCGAGTAGATGGTAGACGATGGCCTAATTATATCGCAGTTGATTTTTACAAGGTATGATATGTGCATGTTGTGTGTATCTTTTCATTCAACGAAACCTGAAACATTTCAATAATGAAACCTTGCAGCGAAGCGATGGAGGGGGTGCACCCGAAGCAGTAGATGAAGCAAATGGGCAGCTAATTTGTGGCTGCAAATCTATATCTTCTTGCAAGGTTAACATTTATTGTCATGATTGTCGCCTTATTCTCTGTTTTCAAGAAACGAATGTGGAATATCATAACCATGCATACACATGGCGCAGGAAAATATGACATTTGGAGTATGCGAAAAACCCGAGGCAAGTATTGCTCCAGCTGCAGCAGCCAACAACGAAACCAGCTATGGAGTGTTCGACAGTCGGCCCGAGCAACTGCAATGGCTGCTCGGCATACTTCTCGCGACAATCCTATCCCTGTGAGTTCTTGCCATGCTTGTAACAATGTGAATTCATAATTCTTTGATTTCCTGGTAAAGCAAAGTTAGTGTAGTATAGTATACTTGCTGCCTTAACATGTTAAAAAGAAAAGAAAAAAAATAATTGGATAGCATAAAACAGAGTAATTGGAGAGGTAGATGATCATATGTAGTTTCTTCTGCCATTACAAGCTTCAAGTTGGCAGATAACAGCAGCTATGAATCTTGGCTGGTGGTGAAATTCATGACAGAAGAAAATTTAAAATGGCGTTACTGTTAATTAGCTAGCTGCAAGCTGTTCTTGTTGTTTACTTGTGTTAGAGAGTCTTGAGTCTTGAGTTAGATGGATGTATTGTATGTATTGCTGCTGCTTACTTGCTTTCGGATTCTTTCTATTGATATTACCATAATCGAAAAATGATCTGTAGGAAGTTATAAATGCCTGAACCTTGCTTGATTCATTTTTTTTTATAGTTAATAGCACTTCGGTTACATCAGTTACAGTGTTGATCGGATCAAATCATCAGCGCTAATTCAGTACATGTATATAGTATAGATAACATATATATATATATGACTGCATATGATAATATGATATAAAATACATACTTGAAGAGTACATAATATAATTTTATGTTGAACAATATATTATTCATTTCAGCATAGTTAATATATTCATACAGTGTAATAATTTGCACAACACATACTTAGAATATTGCTGTGATATATTAAAAAAATGCACTGTTTGCTTTCTGTGTATATTCTTGTTGATTTGATTGACTCAATCGGTATGATAATCACAGCCTAATTAACAGATATCTATAGGTTTGAAATGGCAAACTAAATAAACAAATTATGTATGTTTTTGGCTCTATTTGGTTTCTTCAAACTATGCAAGTCATTCAAAACTCTAAGGGTAAAACTATGAAAAGATTGAGAATATATATATATATATATTTATATATAAACATTTGAAACTCGTAAGGAATGGCCTGATGGTGTGAATGAACTTGTGATTGTGAGATCATAAGTTCAAATTCTAATGCTTTCAAATTCATATGTCATACATGTTTCGTCTAGTGTGACTTGTCTTGTCAGGTCTAGTTGACTAGTCGTTCTTAGCCGAACTAGGAATGTGTATGGACGTACTTGGGACATGATATTTGCGATTTTGGATATATTCAAAGTGAAAATGAGTTTGAAAGTGAATTTGTGCTCTGATGTGTTTTTGGAAGTGTGACGAGTAATACAAAGTGAAAGTGAATTTGCCGGTCGATGTGTATTGGAAGTGTGACAATTAATGGAGTTTGTTTAGATATCTTTTTTAAAAGTAAATTGAAGTTTTTGAATTATTTTTAAAAGTAATGGTCGTGAATAGTCTTGAATTTAAAATATGTTTAAATACATTTGAAATTATAATAACTGTAATGTTAATTGATAATGTGAAATAATTTTTTAAATTGTATGTATAAGGTAAACAATATCATATATACTTGTGTTATAGTAATTTTTTTTAATCTAAATTTAAAATTTCACATCTTTTATAAAATTAATTTATATTAATTATAAATAAATATTGCACATATTTTTTATATTATATAATTTTAAAATATTTAAATACATATTCTAAAATTTTTAATTACATGTTAAATTTATTTTAAAATTATCAATCTTAATTATATAAAAAATAATAAAATAATATTATAATTTATTAATTTTAACTAATTAAACATTGTTATGTTAAATATGATATCAATAACAAAAGATCCATTTAAAAAATTTTATTAAAATTTTATTTCATTTATATTAACGCTTTTACTGCTATAGATATAATATATAAAATAATTAAAAGTAAGAGTAAAATGGTCAAATAAAATATTCCCTTCGTCCCGGATATTTTGTCCGTTTTACTAACTATAGATACAGGAATTTAGAAGGAGTATAATTAGTAAATAATTAAAAATATATTACTGAAAATAGTTATCGTATAATAAAAATAATTATATATTATGATTAAGATAACTTATTAATATAATTAAAATTTAAAAAATTATAAATTATATTTTTTAAAATAAGATTAAAGTGTATAATTTTTTTAAAAAAATGAAAGTGACAAAATAAGTGGGACGGCCGGAAATAGAAAGATGGACATGAGAAGTGGAGCAAAGAGAGTATTAAACTTATATTCTTTCTATTTATTCAAAACATATACATTTAGGTGTATATTTATTTATCAGCGAGTTTAACGGGTAATCATATTTCAAATTTATCCTTATTTACATCAATATTGTTAAATCAAATTAAAATTGAAAAGAAAAAAAAAGTACCAATAAAAAATATTCGATATTATTATTTAAATCTAATATTTCTTACTCTTCGTTTAGACAAAAAAATATTTTGGAGTTATATGATATTAAAAAATTTTAAAAAGTAAAAAATTACCGAAATATTTAATTTATATTTTAGGAAAGAAAAACATATTTTGGGTTATTTTTTTTAGTTTTTTAAAGCTTTGTTTATCTAACAACAATTTTCAATTTTAATACTATTTACTTTTCAAAAATACCATATCAAATATATTTCTCTTCCAAATTTTTTGTTTAACAAAATAATACACTAAAATTTCAAATAAATTGTGCAAATAAAACATTTAGAGTGTGTTTGATTCTAAGAAATCAATATTATTTATTGATTTTTTAACAAAAATATATTTATTTTGTCAATCACATTTATGTTTACTTCTTTTCTTAAATTTTTATGAAAGAATGTTGTTTTTTTAGCAAAAAAATATATTATTATTTTTTATTTCTTATTATAAAGACAAAAATTAATAATTATTATTCACTTTTATTAAAATTTATATTCAAATATTTGAGCATACAAGTGAATGACAAAAAAAATACTCCTTCCGTCCCAAAATTAAATATCAATTTGCTTTTTGCACGTAGTTTTAGAAATATTAGTATTATATTGGGATATAGTAGGAATGAAGTAAAAATGACTAAAATAACTTTATTAGTATGTGTGATATAAAATAATGACATTTGTGTAATATATTGTAAGTTGTAAGGGTATTTGTAATGTTAGGTAGATAGTACAGTTACTAAAAAAGGAAATGGATACTTTGTTATGGGACGGACTAAAATGAAAAAATGGATACTTTATTATGGGACGGAAGAGTACTATTTTCTTTTATAAAATGTTAAATCAAAATAATATTTAAATAAAAATTTAAAATCATTATTATACTTCAAATTCATTTCAAGACATACCAAATAAAGCCTAAAATTTTTAGTAAAAATAAATGGTATATTATAAACACTTCCTTGTATTTTAGTAAAAATGTAGAAAACACCCTATATTTTATTTATTGCTTGAAACCTTATAGTGTTAGTGTAAAGTTTATATGAAACACCATCATTGTCCAAAATTGATGTTTGATTTTAAATAAAGACCTAAATTAGGTAAGTTTTATACAAATAGAAAACGTAAAATATCTTAAATAATTTTTTTATAAAATAAATATTAAATAATTGATCAATCATTTATTTTTATAATTTTTATAAAAATCAGATAATAATTTGTCTCCAAACACTATAAAATGAATGATTAATCAATTATTTATTCGTTTATTTTATTCAAAAAATTATTTAAGATATTTTATGTTTTTTATTTGTATAATACTTACATAAATTATATTTTTAATTAGAACCAAATATCATTTTTGGATAAGAAGAATATTTCGTGCAAATTTTACATTAATATAAAAGAGTTTCACGCAATAAATAAAACATAAGCTATTTTGTGTAGTTTTACTAAAATATAAAACAATGTTATACTTCATCTGTCCCAGAAATATAGTTTTAACTGGGTTGGACACGAAATTTAAAGAATATTGATATTATATTGATAGTTAGTAAAAAGTATGGATAAAAGACGTTTTTGCCCTTGTGAGTGTATTAGTGTAAAAAGTAGTGGCAATTGTGTAATAAAAATAAAAAAGTATGGATAGTTTTACGGTGATATAGTTATTTATGAAAATAAAATTATTGTTTTGAAATTGACAAAAATAATAAACAAAATTATTGTATTTGACGGAGAGGGGATAATTTACCAAAAAATAAATACTACTCCCTCCGTCCCAGATACCGTGTCTACGTTGCCGGTTCTGTCCGTCCCATATACCATGTCACTTTTCTTTTTTGGAAAATGATTGTATACTTTAATCTTATTTTAAATTTTTAAATTTTATTTTTTTAATTTTAATTAAACTAATTAATTATTTTAATCTTAATTTATAATTATTTATATTATAGGATAACTGGAGATAGTATTAAAATATGTATAGAAAGTGAGGAGAATAATTGTTTGTAATGTATTTGTATGGGAGTAAATATTAAAAGTAAGTACGGTACAAATGTGGTGTTGGGCGAGCACAGGACAGGACAGGACACAACTAACTGTACATGTAATAAAAATAAAAAATAAAAAATAAAAATAAAAGTAGGCTAGCCTGGGACAAGTTGTCCACTGTTCCCCGCACATTCCTCTTTTTCTTTGACCATTGACCAAACCATTTCTTTACGAATAAATAAAATAAAAATAAATAAATAAAACACTCTTCTTCGATATTAGCCATTTAGAACTTTTATGTCACACTTTTGTATCCGACCGTCCCGTCACGGTGTCCCTTTATTATACACCTAAAAATTTAAAAAAATAATAATTAGGAAATAATTAAAAATATATTAAGTGAAAATAATTATTATATAATAAAAATAATTTTATATTAAAATTAAAATAATAAATTAATATGATTAAAATAAAAATAAAATAAAATTATAAAATTTAAAATGAAATTAAAGTATATAATTTTTTTTGCAGAAAAATAAAATAACAGAATAAGTAGGACAGATGAAAATGAAAAGGTGAATATCACATTAAGGAATTAATAATAAAATATAATTAGTAAGTAATTAATAAAATATTAATAAAAATGATTATTATATAATAAAAAATTAATATAAGTAATAATTTAATTAAAATTAAAAAATTATCAATTAAAAAATTTAAAATGTTATTAAAAGGTATAATTATATTTCTTAAAAATAAAAGAAGAACTAAAATGAAATAGACGGAAATAAAAATAGAGGACGAAAAAAGTGGAACTGAGGGAGTATCTTTGCATTATTGTAAGATATACTTGTGCCATTTTAATTGACATATTTTTTATTTTTATTTTTATCTGTTTCATAATAATTGATATTTTTCTATTTTGGATAAAATTTATTAAATCAAAATATATTTTAGCAAATGTAAATCAATTTAATTAATTATATAATATATAAACTCATACATTATATATGATCAACTCAAAATCTCTTTATTTATTTATTTCCTAAAAAAATATATTTTTTTTTTTTATCTAGGTTAAAACTTCACATATTTTATAAAATTAGTTTATGTTAATTATAAATGCATATATTTATTTTTTTAATTTTTATAATATAGAAAATTTTATTCTCTACAAAATAATACTCTATCCGTCCCTTAACAAACTATTAATTTTTTTTTTAAATTTTGGCTCGTTCTTTAACAAAGTATCCATTTTTTTTTAGTAATTGTACTATCTACTTAACATTACAAATACCGTTACAACTTACAATATGTTACACATATGTCAATACTTTTATATCACACAATACTAATAAAATTATTTTAATCATTTTTACTTTATTCATACTACATATCAATATAATATTAATATACTTTAAATTTCGTATAAAAAAAAACAAATATTTACTTAAATGATAGAGATAGTATCTATATTGCATAGATTTTTTATTACAAATATATGTCATCGAATATATCACAACTTCCTCAAATTTTTTGATCTTTTCACCCTCGTCAAATACTAAGTAAGAAAATAAAGTTAAATATAAACAACCAAATATAAAAAAATATAAATACTGCTCCCCGACAACGGTGCCAAAATTGCTCGTGTGTCGCACAATTGCAAAATAAAATATTAATTCTTACGCCATTGAAAATGCAGAATGCAACATATATATATATATATATATGGTTAGTAGGGTCGTCTCTGCATGAAAGTAATAAAAATTTGACAACTTGATAATTTATAATTAAATATATATATATATATAAATAACGGGGATTTGAGATTTGATTTACTACGCTAAATAAAAAAAAAAAAGAATAATTCAAATTAGAAAGAAAATAAATTAAGCTAAAATATAACCAAATATCAAAATTAACTAAACTCTAGCCTAGGTATGAATTTTCGTTCGGGATATGAAAATTTGTTCATCGACCATAATCAACTTTATTGGTTTATTGGATAAATTGACTATAGTTGATCTACACGCGTTCACAACCAATATTTCCTTTTTCGATAGCTAAGGTGCGACCGTTACCTATTTCGCTAATCGAGTGAGAATCCTAGGTACGACCGTAGCATTGCAAACTCGACAACATTAAGAACTAGAAAGTCCAAATTCAATTTAACCAAATTCCTACGAGAATTTATTCGAAATTGATTTTAATTCCTCCATATAGTATTCTTCCTCTAGATTACATAATTACGGGTGTCAATCCTCAATATTGCTATGAAATCTCAAACTAATACGTGACCACAAATATCAATTTAAGATTTCTAATATCGTCAAGCAGAGAAATTAAAAATATCCAATACTAATAAACGTCAAATTAAAATCAAACCAAGTCTCACAAATTCATATCCCGAACTTCAATTTATAGCTAATCTAGAAAATAAATTACTCACAATCCATAGAAATCGAAAATGCAAAACAAATAAAGAAGTTCATCATGACTTCAATATTTGAAAATCAACAACCAACCAATTTTAAGAATGAAAAAAGAATCTCCTCAAAGTTTGTCTGCTCTGCTTCCGGAAGTTCTCTGCACCGCACTTCGTTCTTTTTTTCATCTCTTCTCCCTCAAAGGATTGATGTCGTGATGAAGAATGTGGTAGTCCATTGGTCTCTTAATTATCTATCTCATGATCTCCTTTTAATTAGATCATATTTGCAATTTAATCATCACATAATATTTATATTGTCAATTCACCTCGGAGGGTTTTTTTTTTTTGTTGTAAATTTTTATATTTTCTATGTTGTGTACTTGCGTGATCATGCCTAAAGCCATTTTCTCCTAAATACGCCTAAAAAATTGTCAATTCCATAAAATCTATTACATAATAAAAAAACACACCATAAGGAGTATATATACAAAATTTCGCATACAAAAATTGCTCAAAATATAAAAAAATACTATCATATATAGCACGTATCAAATATCTATTTATTATAGGCATATAAGTTTAGAAGAAATGTAATTAATAAATAATTAAAACATATATTAGTATAATACAAATAATTAATGTAATTTAAAAAATATAAATTATACAATTAAAATATAATTATCATATATAGTTGTTTTTTTTAAAAAAATAAAAATTTGTGAATATGTATATATAAAAAATAACTTTCCATAAGATAGGAGTCCAACAAAAAAAGCTAAAAATTATTTTATAAAATTCACTATTAAACAAACCCAACGGCTTCACCCACCCTTATCAACTCACACACGGATACGCCTCTTCAGTATTGAGGCCATGTTTGTTTGAGTTCTACTCCTTCAGCCTCACCTATTTTGGCTCATTTAAGTTTTAGTTATTATTTAATTAGTAAATAATTAAAAAATATATTAGTGAAAATTATTATAATTTAATAAAAATAATTAAGATGATTAAATAATTTCATTAAAATAAAAAAAATTATAAATTATGAATTTTAAAATATAATTAAAATATATAATTATATTAAAAAATAAGACAAATTATGTGGAACGAACGAAAATAAAAATAATGGACAAATTAAGTGAGACGTAAAAACACTATTTATTCATTGTCAGTTATTCATTTTAAAAATTTAAAACTCTATCCGTCCCAAAATAAGGTTATAATTTTCAATTTTCGTTCGTCCCAAAACAAGGTTACAATTTTTTAATTTAGTAACTGTACTACCTAACTAATATAATAAATACCATTTCAACTTACAATATATTACACAAATACCATTACTTTTATATTATACCATACTAATAGTGATATTTTTGTCTTTTTTACTACAATTCAATATAATATTAATATTAAAAAATCTACGTACATATCTTTATTATTTATGCTATTTACATTTTTTATTTAAAATATATTTTATAAAATATTTTAAACAATAATAAACAATAAAATATACTCCTACTTTTTATTAAAAAAATAGGTCAATACAATTTTAAATACTCATTAAAAAAGTTAAAATATTAAATACTTAATTTAAAATAATATATATTTATATTTTTAATACAATTCTTTACACATAAAAAATTTATACACAATTTATTCATAGTAAAGTAGTTTATCAACGTATAATTTTATTATTAATACTTTAACAAATTACAATAATTTTGCCACTATTTTCTATATTTGCCTCTATCATTTTTTAATAAAATTTTCATAATATTCTCATTTACATTTTAACTAATTAATTTTAATACTTCAACATTCATCTGCTTTTGCATATAGTTTTAAAAATATTAGTATTATATTTGGATGCAGTAGGAATAAAGTAGAAATGATTAAAATAACCTTATTAGTATTAGTATACGTGATATAAATATAATGACATTTGTGTAATATATTGTAAATTGTAAAAAAAATTTATAATGTTAGGTAGATAATATAATTAAAAAAAAATAAAAAAATTGAATAATTTGTTATTAAAATAAAAAAAATGAATACTTTCTAACGTGACGGATGAAGTATCAAACGACGAACATCCAACCAAAACATACCCTAATTGATTTAAACAAGTGGAAGCCTAACACTACTATTTGAGGTTATCAATGTTCATATAGTAAAAGCGTACATTACATTCTAACCTAACTTCATATTAATTTGAATGTGAATATGATATGACGTATTTATTTGCTTTTGGGAGTGTGGTGCGGTGGACCAATCCCCACGCAAATTCTCTTTGACTTTGACCGTCAACTTAACCCCACCCACCACCCCTGACCTAACCTAACCTAACCTAACCCAACCAGAGTTAAGTTAGGTAACCCACATGCTTCCCAAAGGCAATGACAATGGACCACACGACACGAGACGAGTAGCAATGGCGGATGGATGATGCCATCGCCAGTACAAATTCGTCAGACACACCACATAACGTATCATATCATATCATATGCATAGTAGCCACCAAGAGAAATTAATCAAATGTATATTCGCATCTGTTTCTGCTCCTAAATTGTAGTATTTGTATCTAATCCTCAGAAAATTAGCAGCAGAAGAAGTAGAAGAAGAAGAAGAAGGGTGCAAGTTTAAGAAGAACATGCCTGCAAGTTTGGAGCCGTTGGATACGGCGGTGCAGATCCCTTGCCATTTTCGGTGTCCGATTTCTCTGGAACTGATGGTGGATCCGGTGACCGTTTGTACCGGTCTAACGTACGATCGTTGCAGCATAGAATCATGGATCGCCACCGGGAATACCACGTGTCCGGTTACTCGGACGCTCCTCACGGATTTCACGCTGATTCCGAACCACACTCTGAGGCGGCTGATTCAGAGCTGGTGCGTTGCGAATCACTCGTTCGGAGTTGAGCGGATTCCGACTCCGAAGCAACCTGCCGAGCCTAGTTTGGTTCGGAGTTTGTTGAGTCAAGCTTCTTCTGAATCGACCTCGTCTGGATTGAGAGTTTCGGCTTTGAGGAGGATGAGGGGACTTGCGCGTGATTCGGAGAAGAATCGCTCTGTTATTGCTGTTAGTAATGCGACCAAGGTTTTGCTGCCGATGGTGTTCGCCGATGTTCGGTCGGACTCGGAATCGTCTGATTTGAATCTCGAGAGTCTCGCGATTTTGTCGATGTTGTCGCTTTCTGAATCGGATTGCATGTTTGTTGCTGGTGATGTCGATCGCGTCGGATATCTGGTGAGTTTACTGTTCCATTCGTCGATTGATGTTCGGGTGAACGCGGCGGCGGTGATTGAGGCGATTGTGGCGGGGATACGCTCGCCGGAGCTCCGATCGCAGATCGGCAGCGTTTCCAGAGTATTCGAAGGTGTAGTCGGAATTTTGAATTACCCGTTGTTCTACGCGAGGGCGGTGAAGGTAGGGATCAAAGCGCTGTTCGCGCTGTGTTTGGTGAAGCAGAACCGGCAGAAGGCGGTGGTCGCCGGAGCGGTGGAGGCGTTGGTCGACAGACTCGCCGATCTGGAGAAGTGCGACGCGGAGAGAGCGCTGGCGACGGTGGAGCTTCTCTGCCGGATTCCGTCGGGATGCGCGGCGTTTGCATCGCACGCTCTGGCGGTTCCCCTGCTGGTTAAGATCATCCTAAAGGTATCGGACCGCGCGACGGAGTACGCCGCCGGGGGATTGCTGTCTCTCTGCTCGGCGTCGGAGCAGTCCCGGCGGGAGGCGGTGGCCGCCGGCGTGTTAACGCAATTACTATTACTCGTTCAAAGCGATTGTACGGAACGAGCGAAGCGTAAAGCGCAAATGCTGCTGAAACTATTGCGGGACTCGTGGCCGCACGATTCACTCGCTAGTTCCGATTATTTTGCCAGAAACGACGTCGTTCCGGCGTTGTGACGTGTCATTTTTTTCTTTTTTTTATTATTAATTTTATTTTAATGTTCAGCTACAGTTGCATTTTTTTTATGGAAGGGGGAACACAACAATAGGTTAAAAGCGATAAGGTACATTCAGCTCGTGCACTTAACTTTAATGATGATATATACTTCTCAGTTCGTTTTTGCGAAAATGTTTAAATACTGATATTAAGTGGTAATAATATTTTTAATAAAAATTAAATAAGTAAAAAGTAAGTGAAATATTATAAAAAATTAATAAAAAATAATTATGATAAAATGATTATTATATTTTAAAATAGAAGTAATAAAATTGTAATTAGATAATTTTATTTTTTTTTTACTTTAAATAGATTATATAAAATTTCAGTAAACAAATAAAAAAATATGACTTAATTATCCTAACAAGAAGGTATATATATATTTCTACCCTGCTACGAGATTTCATAAAAAACTGTTCTTACGACTAGTCATTATTATTATTTTTTTAATAATTAATTTGGATCATTTCTGCAATAATCAGAACTCACAACTTATGAGTTTTTTTTTTTTTTTTCATTTGAATTAAGTTTGAAGATTTAGTAGAAAGAAAAAAAAAATATTTACAGTTTTAGGAAATATGACTTTGTTCATCAAACAATAATTTTCAGCTACGCGCGGCCAAATGATAGAAATAACGACTTTTGCAAATATGTGAAATATATTTTAATATTGGACAAAAATGATAATGGAATATACATGAGAATATTTTTTTTTATTATTAGTTTTATATATTACCAACATAATTTTTCATACTTACTATAAAAAATAAATCTCCAAAAAAATAAAATGAACACACTCAGTACCGCGAGTGATTCCTGAAAAAATATAGAACAATTAATCACCAGGTACCATCTCAAAGTTTTCCAAACCAAAGAGAATCACTAAGAAATGATCTAATCCCACAATTACACCTTGTTGGCAATCTTGGTGAGATATTGATCTTGATAGATCGTTGATCGGGTAAGAAACTGTTGATTGAAAATGACCGGGCACAAGTAAAATGGCTATATCTTTTCTTTTAAAACTTTAGTAGTTGATTGTCACCACTTACGTTGAAATTTTTTATCTATGATTGTTCTTAGTGAATTTGTTGGTTTGATTGCAGTTAATATGAATTAGTTACTATGTTTGCTAGGGCAAAATATGATGCCAATAAGCAAATATATATAGTTAAACAAGTAAATAAATTTATCCAACAAAAATTGATTACAATACTAAAACATATGATTGTTTATAAGTGTTAACTCAAAAAAGAAAAAAAAAAAAAACAGAAAAAGATATATGAAGTTGAAGATAGAATCGCTAAGTTTGAATCGAAATATAAATACAAAAAATAAAAAATAAAAAATAAAAAAATTGTAGAAAAGTAAATGGTTGATTCTCAAGACAAATTCCTTTGAATTTTGATATGATTAATTAAAGATGCCTACGATCATATAAATTTGGGCTTTGAAAGGAGAAAATTCGAATGATTAAGAAACTTCGTATAAAATCTCTCAAAATTAATGGAAAACTATATCCGACTTCTTCTCCAATTTTTTTCTTTTCTAGTTGGCAAAATGTATTGGCCCTTTATCTGCGAGACCGAGAATATCATGCTCAATAATTGTCCACTCGAGTAAGAGATTGTACGAAATTTTTTTTGGTTATTCTGGATTAAAGTACCTATCCAGTTTTAGATACATATAATTTTGTGTATTAAGAATTGGCTCCCTTCGTACTTCATGACTGCAACTTAATGGTGGCATCGATTAGAGTCTTTAAGAATTTTTCATCATAAATCTCATATTCTTTCTGTGAACTTGTGAGATTCCAATAATGAGAAATACCTCGAGCAAACATAACTCATTCTTTTTTCTCTAGGATTGGAAATAGCCGACCAAAAGAGGTCAAGGTGAAAATGGCTATGACCCACCACAATTTTAATGGAAGCTTACTACCAAACCTCGTCTTTGTACACATGAATTTAAAAGTTTTCTATTTAATCGACTTCTAACTTGATTACTTGAATATGAATTGATTAATTCTCAATCCTGATGTCGTAAAGACAAACAAAGATGATGAAGATGACATGCCTCTTTCAAAGTTGAAAAGGACTAAAATTGTTAAGAATATACTTGAAGATGTACAAAGAGCTGGTTCTTTAATTTTTTCATGCAATGCTTTGTCCTTGATTATGATACACCCGAAGTTGAATAGATATGACTAGAGTTTGAATAGATTGATGATTAGAATACTTATGTCAGCAATGTGCACATCTCTTTTCAAAAGCCCACTTGAAAGAATTTATAATTAAACATATTTGGTTTAGAGTAATTTCAGGATGGGTGATCCTGTGAGAAGTTTCTCATGGTACGCATGAGTGATGACAAAGTGCGCTAAAAGGAATTGTAGTGACCATTGTCATCAATTTACGATCCTAACACACCCAATTTGCTTGGCTTGCAAAGTGGGGTATTACAGTTGGTATCAGAGTTGACCTGTGACAACTCATAGTCGTTGGCCGAATTGTTGAGGGGCCTAGTAGTTGATATGAGAGTCGACCTACGTGAACATTGCATTTTTAAGTGGGGGAGGATATGATGTCCTTGAAGTTGAATAGAGATGAATAGACTTTAAGTAGAATGATTAGACTATTCACGTCAATGATGTGCACTGGAAGGACTTGTGTTGACTTGTGTGACCAGTCTATAATCCCAACATTTTTAGTTTGCCTAACTTGTGGGCCAGTGTGTTACATTGATTTTTTTTTTTCTTTCTTTCTGTAGACTGCCATGCCAAAATTATCCACTAAGATAGGAAATAGATTTTTATCCTTGAGCGGGCCAAAATATCTGAAAAATTTATTTCTCCAGTATGAGAATTGATAGTGCTAGTCTTTTTGGATGTCTTGAATCAACATCTTGGAGAGTCATTGTTTGAAACATTATGTTCAATTAGAGGCATTGAGACTACGTTGGCCATTTTTGGTGTTTTGAAGCTTCACACAAAGTTAAAATCATAGACTTTAAAGTTAAATCTAGTAGAAAAAAATTTATTTACTTTGTACTAACTTTGGTTCATTATTGATGAAATAACTACATGAATTGATATTTCAATCACTAACCCATATGAGACTAGCCAGACACTTGGAGTTTACGAGAGCATTTATCTAAACATGGAACATAAATCCTAATCATTGATCTATATGAAAAATAAGATCAAATTATTGAGGATCTTATGTGATGAGATATTCACTGCAAATGATGAGTTGGCCAAGGAGATTATTAAGGATGAACATATACTAGACGAGGTGAGGGGTTGGTTAAGGGGTCATTATGCCACTATGATGGACATTGATAAACAACTAGCGGACAAGTTTTGATCCATCCATGATAAGGAAAATTTGCAAGCAAAACTCAGTTTGACATGGCCAAATGTCAATTGGCCCAACGGAAGAAGAAGAAGATAGTTTCTTTAGGTGTTTACTGAAGATAAGCCGATTGGACCAATGGAGAATGAATGAGACTTCAAATATTTTCACAACCTATGTGGTACATAATAGGAACGACCATTTGTTTCACATGCAAGAAACCCTTGAAACAAACTTTTCAAAGAAGTGAACACAAAAATTATCATCGTTTGGGTGAAATAAATTTTTACTTTTGTTATAGGTTGTATTTTTTTTGTGAGTTTTAACACTAATTTATAAGAAAATTATCATCATTTGGAACGACCATTTATAAAAAAGTTTTATTGGGAAACAAGAAAACTAAATGATAGGTTGTGTTTTTCTGTGAGTTTTAACACTGATTTTTACTATTCAGATTCTTTTCTCTTTCGAAAATATTAAATCAAATAATTTTTTTTTATATTATACTACAAATTTATCTTACATTTAAAACATCACATCAATATCTATTTATATTACTTTAGGGCAAGCACACTTAACTCTAGAGTTCTTTCAGTAGAGCTCCTGAAAATGAAAATGAATGTGCACATTGTTGACATGACTAGTCTATTCAATTAATTTAAACTCTAATCACTCTTGGATGGCCTAACACTGGCTCATCCACGGGCATTGGCCTAACTCCGGTGCAACTTCGGGGGTATTATAGAATTCGCCACCATATATATATATGTATATAAACATATATTGTTTTGCATATTACGATTGAAAAACCTCAAAGTATAATAAACATACATGCATGCCATTGGATCCTATCTTTAAAATATAGACTGACACAAATAATATTGGAGATGGTTGTAAATAGGTTATATATGTTTTCATAATGTAGTTAATCGAACTCATTTATTGAGACTAATTAAGTTTTAATTTGTTAAATTTGTAGTATTCATTAATTTTGATATTCCACCTATAGTGGTTGGTTTGTGATTTCCCCAAGTCACAAGAATAGTTGATTCTTAACCCTTTGGCTAGTTAGTTTGTGCAAGAAGAACGTATAAATGATATTTGATTTGTATTTTGAATAAAAAATAGTTTTAGTATAAAATTTTAAGTAATGAATAAATATTTGATGTAATAATATTGAGAAGAAAAGTATGATAAATAGGGAAATATTGAATTAGACGACAAAAAACCACATTCTCATTAAGAGCACGTGGTTTATGATTTTCTCGAGATCAGAACGGATTGTGTCAACTCAATAAAGTTGATATCTCTCCCGTATTTCGACATAAAAGAAAGAAAGTTGGTAGCAAATTTTACTATGGAACATATTACGACAAAGCATAATTAACTCATACCTACGTGCAATTGATTGTGATTATTGGTGAAATCTAATAAAGGCTTACTTTGCGCCATTCAACGACATTCTTTTTGCTTACAACAATCCCTCGACCAATGAGTTCAAATTCAAGGGTAGTTTCTTTAACGGTATTGATGATTACGAGGCCGTGGATAGATTTTCATCTATTCAATTAGACTCATCGATTGAGACTAATTTACCTTAAATTTGTTAGTTAATAATAGTTAACAATACATAATATCCGCATGAACTTTCTAAAAAAAACATACAACGACTATAGACTTAATTTCAAAGTTCTTTCAAATAGACTTTCGAAAAAAAAGATACACCTTAATTATAAATATGAATGGTCCGATCAAATCGTTTAAATATCATTCAAACATGAGATACCCTAATAGCGATAGATGAAAATAATGATAGAATTATATAATTAAATAAAAAACTTAAGAATTCATCCATAGCATAATCTCAGCTGCTGCTTGCTTGTATATTGCTTCCACTGGAAATGCATGCAAGAATCTGTCTGAAGCTACATTTGCCTGTGCTCACAGAGACACACAAACACACATATGATATCAGATATATATACACATAAAATGATCACTTCAATATAATGAACCTATGTATTACATATGCATAAAACAATCAATTCAATAAAGCTATTTATTTGTTTGTGTTTTTAAAAATATTTTTTGTATATTCATAGTAATTTATACGCTAAATTTAATTTATATTTAAAATGCCGTGATCAACAACATTTTTTTTTTTAATTTGAAAATTATATCAAAAATAATTTTTGTTTAAAATATTGTGTTCAAACTTATTTTTGATCATTCAAAAGTTTCAAGTTAAATACTACAAAACTCAAAATTTATAAACAACCATCCTAAGAACTCAATGCAATTATATTCGTGACTTATATAAATCAAATTTCATATATAAATGAAGCAAACCCTAAATTCTAGGGCAAGAACTATATATATTCTTTTGTTGTATGTAAATCTAATTGTTTTGTTGTTAGAAAATGTTTCCAACTCCATATAATATCAAGTATTCAAATTCAAATCCAAATTATATATTAATGACTTCAATTTATTGAAAAAAACAAAAGTTTAATTCCAAAATAATTTTATAACAAAAAAACAATAATAATAAGTTAATGCAAAATTAAAACAGTAATTATTTGAATTAAGAAATAGTATAGAGAGAGGTGAAGATCGACTTACACTTAGTCGGGCATGGATCATGTACAAGATCCGATTCCGATTGGACGACGCGTGCACAGAGACGACGTCGAGTTTGTGCTTCTCGACGACGAAGCAGACGGCGGTGAGGAGGCCGGGCTTCCGTACACTGCAGAGGCTGAAATGGGCGTCGTCTCCGCAAACGCTCAGCGTCACATTCGGAGCTGTCCACGTCTTGAAAACGGGGGGGAAGTCGGCGCCGCCGCCGGCGAATGGAGCCGGCGCCGGCGAGGAGCACTGGTCCGCCAGAAAAGCCTCCCTGGATTGGATTGTGAGTCCCGTCCCCGGGAGGTCCTGGAGCTTCTGCTTCTGGAGGTCCTCTAGGGTTTGCTCCAGCTTCTTTATCTGCCTTATGGCTTCGTCGACGATGCTCGTCTTATCCGACTGCAAATCACAATCACAATCACAATCAGAATCACAATTAAATTAAATTAATTAAAATAATAAATTAATTAATTGATTTACCTTAGGAGGGAGATGAGGGAGGAGAGAGTGGAGAGTAGAGAACATATTGCGCATCTTCTTCCTCCTTTCTCTCTCAGTCCAAATATGGAGTTCATGTTCATCAACCTGCTGTTTCCCCAACAGTTCTTCCGAGCATTCACCACGACCATCATTCTTCTTGCTCTTCTTCTTCGTCTTCTGGTTATTGCTCATGATTCCGGTGCATTTCTCTTCATCGTCATCTTCATCAATTTCGCCTTCGAATCCCCATAGCAAACTGTCGTGCTCAGCTTCAAGCTCATTGATTAATTGGAGTTCTCCTCCTCCTCTTCCCATGGCCATGGCTGCAGGCTATATATACCTTTTTCACCGCTTCTCTCTTTCGATCTCTTTCTGTTGTGTGTGTATGTATGTATAGATATAGATATATATATATAGAGAGAGAGAGAGAGGAGAGAGAGACGATAGTGATGAGAAAAAAAGAGAGAAGAGGAGGCGGGAGGGAGGTGGTAGAGAGAGGAATAGCTAAAAAAGAGAAGAAAACAAAATAGAATGATTAGGGAAACGCGGTTGCACCATTCTTCTTCACTGCAAATAACCGTACAGCACATCACCAGAACAGCACACCACATAACACACTACTGTATAAATATAAATAAATAAATAAATAAAAATATTGTTATCTATGGGACCCGCACATTTTATACACATTAGGAGAGAGAGACAGCATAAAGAGCTTAAACAGGCTTTGTTTAGGGATTGAAGAGTTTAGTGTAAATTTATTTTTATTTTTAATTTAAATAATATTTTAATATTCTATTCTTCTCATAATTTTAGCTCACTTTTTTATTTTATTTTATTTTATAAATTTATAAATTAATAAAAAATTATACTTGACGGATGAAGAGAGGGTGTATATTATTGAAAATTATATAAGAATAATAGTGATAATAATGATTTGAAATTAAAGTCAAATACATTCTTGGTTTTATTTATTATTAAAATTTATTTTAAATAATAATTATATTTAATGATTTTTAAAAATAATGTTTCTTTTGTCCATCATCGTAAATAATTTTATTCATTTACAATTTGATTAACTCACAATTTTATTACACAGTTTAACAAATAATAATTAAATTGTTACTATTTTTTCCACTACCTATTTATCAATTATTTAATAACAATTTTTTCATAATACTTTCGTTTTATTTTTTACCTATATTTAATTTTAACATTAAGGTTTTGTTTGATTGTAGTTTAAAATTGATTTAAAATGAAATGTTGATTATTTGAATTTTATTAAAACAATATTTTGATATAATGTTTGAGAGATAAAATATTTTATTTTATTGAAACTTGTATTAAGTTAATAGCTTTGATTTTGATTTCAAATGTTAAATAATATTATTTTTTCGTTTGCGTGCCCAAGCAAATCTACATAATTTTACTGGACCGGGGAGAGTATATCTTAATAAAGAAATAAAATATTAAGGAAAATACATAATTTTCTTTTGTTTTAATATTTTGTATATTGATATTTTTAAAATAAAATAATTCGAAATATCAAATTGAGTCACCGGTGACTTACTACGATACTACGAATGGCGAACTATTCTAATAAGTTAAATACATGAATAAAATGTGAATTCACATAATCATAAGTTGTAAATATATATATATGTGAATAATACCTAAGGATTCATTCTATTATTTGTTTTCTATTTAGAGTTCATTTACTTTATTTTATTTTTAACTAAATTAGTTATAGATTCCAATTTTTAGATTTTGTCCATTTATTTTATAAACTTATTTTTTATTATCTAATTGTGTGCTCAACTGTGATAAGTAATCAGACGACGAGTAAAGAAGAACTGTTATAAATATCTAGATACTTTAATACAAATTATGTATGCAAGTAATTATTTTTAAATTTACCTCATGTAATTGTGAATAGTTAAAATTATTTAAAATCACTGTTAGTTGTATCATTCTTTAGGCCATCTCCCTGTACTAAAAATGTAGTTGATCTACAGTAATAATTTTACTCCAACCATAAACTTCAATTTTTACTTTTTTAAGTATATTCCCTATATATTCTTCTTTTATATTATTCTATATAACTTTTAATATTTATAAATTATACCCCAATTTTAATTTATTTTTACATTAGATCCATACACATATAATTTATATTTTATTTAAAAATTACAAAAAAAATAATTTTAAATAAATATTTAAATGCTATCAAGACAAATATGATATAATAATTAAACAAAGATAACGTAATATTATATATTAATTTTAAAAATAAAATTATATATTACTTTCCAAAAACTAAAATTATACATTATTTTAAAAAAAAATAAAATTACATACAATTTTTTAAAATATAAAATTATATATCATCTATTAAAAAATTAAAATTACACAATACACCTAAAAAATACCAAAAATATAAAAAACACCACAAAAACTCCACTCCAAAAATTACTCCATACCATTTTTGGAGTAACACTGTGTATAGCTGCAAAAATGGGGGTGGGGGGGGGGAGGGGATTTGGAGGTCGGTTGGAGCCCCCATTTTTTATAAATGCAGTGGGTTGGAGATGATCTTAGAAGGATAAATTGCAAAAACTAATTATACTTAGGCTTGTAGCAATGAACTAGCTTTCTCTCATTTACTCAGACATTGATATTTGTGTTATGATACTTAAATAATCAATGTTGACATATTAAATTTAGAAATTTGATTAAAATTAGAAGAAGAAGAAGAAGAATATAATTGATTGATAATAGACTTGTTGCATGTAACAATGGACTAGTTTTCTGTCATTCTATTTGGGATTGGCATTATTTATTGATTTTTTTTATTATTGTTGTTATTATTATAATTATTATGATTGATAATCTTCCATTGTCACTCAGCCTATATTTATCAGACATATATTTTATTGAAATTTTACAAAATACTTTTTGAAATCTTTTTGTATTTAGGGGTTTTTCTTTTTTATTATTTTTTAACTTAATGAAAAAAAAAATAAAATTGAATGTACAGTTTCAAATGAAAACATATACTCCCTCCCGTCCCATAATTAAATAATTATTTACTTTTTTTACGTAGTTTTAAAAATATTAGTATTATATTTAGACTTAGTAGGAATAAAATTGAAATGACTAAAATAACCTTATTGGTATGTGTGATATAAAAGTAACGATATTTGCGTAATATATTGTAATTTGTAAGGGTATTAGTAATGTTAGGTATATAGTATAATTACTAAAAAAGAAAATTGATACTTTGTTATGAAACGGACTAAAATGGAAAAATAGATACTTTGTTATAAGACGGAGAAAATACTTAGTTTGGTATTGATTCAAAAGGGTTTGCTGCACGTGGAGATTCGATCCCAGAATGTCGAATAGTGAGGTATTTAATGAGGTAATTATGCCTTAATCGTGTAATTATCTTATTATAATATATATAAAAATAATTTCAAGTTCAAAAAATTATAATAATAATATCATGATTAGGAATGTCCGTAAAACCTGTGTTCTTTTTTTATTTTGCTTTTATTTAGTGTTTTTGTTATTGAAATTCTTTGGGCCATAAGAATAAATTCATGTGATATTTTACGAGATAAAAAGAGTGTTCAGTGAAATTTTTTTAGGAAAATTTAAAGAATAAAAATAAAATTAAAAAAAACTAAAACAAGACAACCTAAATCTCTTTAACTTATATGTAATGATTTGGATTTTGTTTCTTAAGTGTACAGTATTTTTAAGCTGATAAAAAGTGTGAATACTTCTTTTAAGAGTGAAAAAATCTCATACTTAGCTTATATTATATGCTATACTAATGTTTTTGCAACAGACAGCCTTATATTCAACGTGAGTAGGCCATTTATGCTGCCTAACATTTGCCTAAAATGTTGCTTTAGTTACCAATCTTGTGGTAAAATAAACAATCTATTTGTAATCTTCATTTCATTCGACTTATTTAAAATCTAATACTCCCTGCGTCTCATATAAAGTATCTAAGTTTTTTTTTTTTTTTTGAATATTATTATACACTTTAGTCACATTTTAAATTTTATAATTTATATATTTTTTCAATTTTAATTAAACTATATAGTTATCTTAATATTAGTTTATAATTATTTTTATTATACAATAATTATTTTTACTAATACACTTCTTAATTAATTACTAGTTATACTTTACTTAAACTATCGTGTCTACAGTGTCGTAAACACTTTGCCTGGGATGGAGGGAGTACTCTTTTTGGTATGCCAAATGTATATATACGATCGAGATATAAAGTTTAGCTCACTATACTTACAAAATAGTTTGAAATTTACTCGTAATTATTTATTAGTTAGTATTAGTTAAGCTTCTTCTTCTTTTTTTTTTTTTACGAGATTAATTCATGAATAACTTAATTATATATATATATATATATGTGTATATATATATTTCACATTATTAGACATGGTTCTCAGATTTTTCAAAATTAGGGTCCATTTGGATTGCCTTAAAAAATAAGCAGAAGCCGAAAATAAAAACAAGAACGGTTAAATTTAATTTTGTATTTCTATGAATTATTATAAAAACAGCTTTTGATAAAAAAAAATAAAAATAAAAATTATTTGGATGTAACAGAGTTTGAAGTGCTTAAACTGTTAAAATTATTCAAAAAGACACATTAATATAATTGTATTTTTCTATAAAACTTATATAATTTATTTTTAAATTTTATCAATTATATTTAGATATTTTAAAGTAAAGGATAAAAAATATATTTTTAAAATTTAATTATTTATATTTGAAATTTTAATTTATAAATAATACTATAAATTAAAGATAAATTGCAATATAATATTAAATTATTCGTACTTTACAATTTATTTTATAATTTTATAAATTACAATTTATTTTGGACAGAAGCCAATGCAGACAGGTGCAAAATATTTTTTTCAATTCAAAGGGGTTCTAAGTTTATGAAATATTAGTTAGTGAGTGGAACCGAATTTAAGTTTGAACTTTCTTTTCACTAGCCTATACAAATTATTTTGGTGCGGGAGGCATAGTGTTAAGTTTGTGTTAATTTTAGCATATTGACATAAATTTTGGTGCCAAATAAAGTTGTGACAAAAAAAGCAATAATGGTATACTAAAATTGACTCAAACTTGACACAATGCCTTCTACGTCGAAAAGAACAATTATAACATAGTATTTTATTTTATTTTTTTAATCTCAACAAACTGAGCCAAACAAACTCAAACAAAGAAACTGCTTAATGAGCTAATTAAGCTCGAATAATCTCACAACTCATGTTTCTTATTAAATGATAACGATTCGAGCTCGAGTTGTTGAAAAGTTGATATCAAACATGTTATTCTTACGGTGTAAGTAA